TCACCCCTGTTAGAATAGCCATCATCAAAAATACGACCAACAAATCCTGGTGAGGATGCAGGGAAAAAGGAACCCTCATACAAAGCTAGTACAACCACTTTGGAAAACAATATGGAGGCTTCTTGAAAAACTAAACATAGATCTGCCATATGATCCAGCAATACCACTCCTAGGGATATACCCTAAGGAATGCAGCTCAGGTTACCACAAAGACACCTGCACACCCATGTTTATTGCAGCACTATTCACACTAGCCAAGTTATGGAAACAACCAAGATGCCCCACCACTGACGAATGGATTAAGAAAATGTGGTATCTATACACAATGGAATTTTACTCAGCCACAAAGAAGAATGAAATTTTGTCATATGCAAGTAAATGGATGGAACTGGAGAACATCATCTTAAGCAAAGTTAACCAGGCTCAGAAGGCCAAAAATCATATGTTCTCCTTCATATGTGGATTTTGGACCTAAAACAAATACAGTAATATTATTGGACATGGGTCGCACACTAAGGGGAGAAGAGTACAGGAGGAATAGGGAAAGGGAAGGAAACCTAAAACTTGAAAGCGGTTGATGTGCCCACTATAGAGGAGCGAATAAAATAATCTTAAACCGGCAGAGGCCACTATGGGAAGGTGACCAGGAAATAATGAAGAGGTCTGGTAGAGATGAACCAATTCAGGTTGTAATATACATGTGCATGGAAGCAATGCTAGGAATCTCTCTGTATAGCTATCCTTATCTCAAACTAGCAAAAATGCTATGTCTTTCTTATTATCTCTTGTGTTTTCTCTTCAATATAATTGGAGAAGAGGGCAGAACAGGTTCTACCTGGAAGCGAGGGGTACAGGGGGGCAGGGGGGAGAGATGACCCAAACAGTGTATACACATATGAATAAATGTATAAACAATAAAAATAAATAACCTTAATCTGTTTCATTCTGTCATAAATAAAATCTGGGATTTAATTCTCTCTTATAATACATAGGTCTATTTACAAATGGGCTTTCTGTAAATTGTTTTTATACAAAAATAATTTTAAGGTTGATTTCTTTTTTTTCATGCAGATATAAGGCTCTAAGTTAAAAGATTTTTTGAGTTATTTTCAACAAGTAACAAAAATACATAAAAGGTAGTAAGTATATGGTTTTTAAAAATAAAGGGTTAAAAAATTTAGATTAAAAAAGGATTATATAAAAAAAGGTTTGTCCTCAAAATTGTCCCCCAAAAAGAAAGGATTAAAAACAAACTGTCCCAGGGGGAACTGAGTAAATTGTCATAAAGGTACAGAGTAAGTTGTCATAAAAAGATGGAGCTTATAAATGCTTATGTAAGTGATTAAGTTGACTAAAATCTAAGCATTACATTAAAGGTTTTATAAGGTCAAAATTTAATGTATCAATGTTAAACTAAAACTTATTCTCTAAGCTCATAACAACAAGGCTGTTAGTACTTGGATGGGAGGAAGATCTTCAGAAGAGACTACTCAGAGACAAGCAGCTTAGAGACAAGGTGGGGAATACTGTCAATGTTCAAATGGAGTCACTTTTGCCAGACCTCTCAAAAATAATCAAAGCTGAGAGAATTGAGGAAATAGTTCTTATGCATGTGTGGCTATCTGGCATTAAAGCCCTTCCAGATAGAAACTCATATTTTTAGCCAGAGCCCTCTACTTAAATAGAGACAAAGTGACTATTTTTACTGGCTCTAGACATGTCCTTTGATACTTAAAAGATAGTGTTTTCAACTTTTCTTTAAACAATGGGTTTTTCTTGGACATATATACCGATAATGTATTGTTGCCATGGTGATTCTACTCAGTACAAGAAAAACCACAGGTTCAGAAATTTAAAAAATGTACTATAGCCAATACCTCCTGCTACCAGTATTAAAAAAGAAATTAAATCTTAACTACCGTCTCTAACCTGGTTCCTCCCTCTACTTGGCTCCTGGTCTCTTAATCTGCTTGTCAAATTTGTTTCTTTAAGGTTGGAGGCAATCAAGCTCCAGATGGTGATGGAGACAAAGTCATACATGCTGGAGACCTCCTCCTGATACCATGGACTCCTTGACAGACCCCCTTCGACATCTCAATAGAGACACTGACTGTTCAGGGGCCCCTTGAGTCAATGCCCCCTTTCCTGACAGAAGTTAGAGTTACCTCTGGAGAGGAGGAAATACAAGGAAATAAAATAAAATGACAAAAATGTCCCTAGAAATGTAAATGTAAAAGGACAAATGACAAAGTAACTTTGTTCTAGATAAAGGAGACAAAAAGGCACACTTAAAAATAAAACATTTTAAAAAGCATGAAAAATCAGCTTTACATGCAGGTGCTGAGGCAAAACAAACTTTCCCAAAATAAACAAAAAGGGTTCTCACCAAAATAATGAGCAGTAGTCATAAAATATAAGTAACAACCCTCAAGAACAGGATGGACTAATGAGGCCCTCTTGAAATGTCCAGTCCGATAAAGATAGGGGCAACTAGGTGGTCAGGCTTAACCAAAAGTCAATTAATACTAGCTAAGTTTAAAGAAAAAAGAACTATAAAAGAGGGGAATTGTGAGAATCAAGTGAAGTTTTTTTTTCTGTCAAAGGAGTTAATATAAAACTATCATGTAGATGCCAGCCCACCTCCCCAAATGGCTGCCTACATGCTTTGTGAAACATTGCTTGACCTTGCAAGGTTCTTTCGGTCAAATAAAGAGCTGTTTATCGCCAGGTGTCCTAATCTCCAACTGCTTGCTTAAAGATGAATATTGCTCAAAAGAATTCTCTTGTCCTCCCTGCTTCAAGGTCCCCCTTACCCCACGTGTCCCCCTTTTCTAAGTAACCAGTTGTGAAGATTGTGAATCCAAACCAGTCCATCAGGGTGAGGGGCAGAGAGAGATAAAAATTGAACTCACTCCCTGCTCAGTGTATTCTGCCTATCAGACTGGTCTGTGGCTGCACCCTTCTGCAGAAGTAAAACTGTTCTTTTTGTCTTGCTGAGTGACTCCTGAGTGTTTCTTTGATCACTGTTTGGGAACGGCATTTCTCACATTAGACATTTCCCCAAATATATATACACATAAGTGGCCAATATACACATAAGTGGCCAATAAGCACATGGAAAGATGCTAACGCCATTGATCATTAGGGAAATAAACATCCAAAACCATATTGAGACATAACTTTATACTACCAGATGGCTATAATTAAAAATGAAAATAAGTGTTGGTGAGGGTGTGGAGAAATTTAAGCCCTTGTACATTGCTAATTGGAATATAAAATGTGCAGCCACTGTAACAAACAGTTTGTTACAGGGGTGAGGGTTATAGCACAGTGATGGAACACTTAAATAGCATGCATACAGCCCAACATTCCGATGCCAGCACTTCAAAATAAATAAATGCAAATAAAATAAATTGGAAAATAGTTCGTTGGGTCCTCAAAAGCTAAACATATGACCCAGTAATTTCATTCTTAGGTTGATACCCAAAAATTGAAAACAAGGACTGGAGCAGATATTTCTATACCCATGCTCATGATAGCCAAAGATGAAAAGAATCTGTCCGTTTGTCCATCCACGGAGGAATGGATAAGCACAGAGTGGTAAATACAGACTTTTTGGTAGTACTGGGGTTTGAACTCAGGGCTTTGCACTTGTTAGGCAAGTGCTGTGCTGCTTGCCCCATACCTCCAGCCCAAAAATGTGGTAAATACATACAATGGAATATTGTTTAACCATAATAAGGAATGAGGTTCTGATATAATGCTATAAAGTGGATGAACCTTGAATACCTTACACTTCATGAAATAATCATAAAAAAGAACGAATATTGAATGATCCCACTTATATGAAATATATAGAATAATTAAATTCATAGACATGGGCTGAGAGGAGGGGTGGGAAGAGTGGAAAATTATTGCTTAATAGTTACAGTTTCTGTTTGGGATCATAAAAACATTTTGGATGTAGTGATGATAGTTGCACAACATTGTGTGTATAACTAATGCCATGAATTGTATCTTTAAAATGGCTAAAATGACAAATTTTATATTTTACCTTAATAAACATTTTAAGTACATATGGATAATTTTAACTCAGAGTTAAACTGCTGTAAGTTATGAAATAAAGAAGTATTGTACCTATTTCCCAGAGAAGGAAGACAGTTTTAGCTTTAGATAACTGTATAAGATTCTTGGTTAAGCTGGCAGAGTGGCTCAAATGGTAGAGCACCTGCCTAGCAAGTGTAAGGTCCTGGGTTCAAACCCAGGTGCCTCAAGATAAAAAAAAAAAAAAAGAATCTTGGTTAAGCTTCTTGTCAGTGTTGGTCAATTTTAGAGATGATTGATTTGTTCCAGGGTTACCCCAGCGCACATGATCCAGTCAATATAACTAGATTTCGGCTTGGCAGAGGAGTCTTTCTCTATTGGAATTCACTATGTATCTCAGTCCTGTAATAATCATATACAGTTTAAATCCTATACAGTTCTTTTAGAATGGTTAAGTAGGAATGTTGAGACTGCTAAATTTAACACCTGTCTATTATTCCTTATGAAAGAACATTTGAAATCCATTTTTGAGGGAAAGTTTGTTTCTTTTCATAGAGACCTATTAGACCATTTAAGCTTAAGCATGTTTGACAAGGTTAACATTTATTGTATGTTAACAAAATCCTTCAATATGTATTTTATTCAAGTAAATTTGTCTTTATATGCATATTTTCTGCCTATGTCTATAACCATTAATTTGCATTTTTTGGGGGGGGTTAGGCAAGGAATCTGGGTGACCATTCATTTTGGTTAGTCTCTGGAGTAAAGCAAAATAGCTGATCTCTGTGAGCATTGAGACTCATGGATACTGTTATTTTTCAAAGAGCAATGTATTAAGTGCTTTGTAATTGTTAAATATATCTAGTATATTTTATTAGTATTTATGGAAGATACTGTTGAGTAAAGACACATTCAGTAATAGTCTTCAACTATATTGTTTTTGTAATGTTTTGAAGCTTCGTGATTCCACTGAACAATTTCAAGAATATTACAGGCAGAGATTGCGCTATCAACAGCATTTAGAACAGAAGGAGCAGCAGAGACAGCTCTACCAGCAAATGCTGCTTGAAGGAGGTGTGAATCAGGAGGACGGTCCTGACCAGCAGCAGAATCTTACTGAGCAGTTCCTTAACAGGTCATTTTTCTAAAATATAAGGAATTAAGCTATGTAAACATTCAGTAACTGATGCTTTCTGTGTAGTTTGAAATTTTCAGGCTTTTGAAGAGTAATGTGGAGTTGCATGTCTTCCAGTCACAGCATTTTAAGGGTTGTATAGTTTTGTCCTTCTTCCCAGGAGAGTGTGTTGATTCAGCCCATATGCTGGAAGCCTCACTTTGGGGTGGATGCAGCTTGCTTTGGGGTAGCTGTCACTAATGTAACTGAGGACCTAGTTACTTAGTTTCTTTTTGCCTGTTTCCTCATCTAGTTTCCAAGGTTGCTATGAGACTAAATGAGTTAATCCCCTAAATGCTTAATACAGTGGCAAGTTGTTCACCCTGGCTTGGTAGCTGTTATTCTTACAGTATTTTTGAGTGTGTAAACCTGCAGTTATCTGGGTGCATAGTGATATGTTCATGCTGTTCCAGCTATTTGGGTGGCTGAGGCAGGAAAATAGCTTGAGCTCAGGAGTTGGAGTTTCAGGCCAGCCTGGCAACATAGTGAGACTTTATCTCAAACAAACGACAAAATCCTCTAGATTCTTTTGGATTCAGTATGTTAAAATGATCCTTATATTTTCTGTCTGAACAGTTTTAACTATGCTATCTTTAGTTATAGAGTATATCTATAATATATATGTGTTTTCAAAAATCAATAAACCAGAATATTTAATGAGCAAGGGTTGGTGGAATAGCAAATGAGTTACGTTACATATAAGAGTCCTCAGAGCAGTTTCTGACACATGGAAGTCTACTCTAAGTAGTGGTTTCATGATTATGATTAGGCAAACTGCAGTGGTGACTGTCAGCTCTTCCCTTGGTTCAATAATATTGGACGTAATCAGCTTGACATTGAGTGTTGTGTAAGTAGTGAGCCTGAGACTGATCCTATCTCTGCACAGGGAGTGTTTACACTGATGATACCAACAGTCTCAGTAGGCCTCTAACTTTCACATTGTGGATTGTTTTCTTACCACTTCTAATTAAGTCTGTAGCTTGTCAGAATGATCCTAATCTAATGAACTGCCACTTCTGGCTTTTGGATGTCAGTCGTGATACCCATAAAAGTCATGGTTGCAAGTTGGCTTTCTAACCAAGTTGTTTTTCACTAACAGAAGATACCCAGTAATGAATTAGAAAACAATGTGGTAAGGCTCTGTGACCCAATAGTGGTAGAGATAGCTTCCTCAGAAATAAGTTAAACTATTCAAGAAGAGTTATCCTTTTTTTTTTTTTTTTTTTGAGGTACTAGGGCTTAAACTCAGGGCCTACATTTTGAGCCACTCCAGCAATCCTTCTTTGTGAAGGGTTTTTTAGTGATAGGATCTCATGAACTATTTGCCCAACCTGGCTTTGAACCAAGATCCTCCTGATCTGTCTCCTGAGTAGCTAGGATTACAGGTGTGAGCCACAGGTGCCCAGCTTGTCCTTTCTTTAAAGACAATCATAAATATATTTCAAATAATTTAGTTTAGAGCATATTTGTTGTTAAGACACCTTTTTCAATTTCTTTGGTGATTAGAGTTTGAAATTAAATTAAAGGGAAAGTATGTTATAGAAATCTATAGAATAACCAGACCTATAATAGTGACTAGGTGTTTGTCATGCATTTTTGCATATTAGTTCCACATAAATTTGATTAATCTTTCTTTGTCTATTGTTTTCTAACCCTTTAATATTTCTTTTTGAGTGCTGTGGATTGAATCCAGGGCCTTGAGTATGCTAGGCATGAGCTCTACCACTGAGCTACATCCTTAGCCTCTAATATAACAGTTTTGTTCAATTCTTTTTTTTCTGGACTCTTAGTTTTTTATATCTGAGCATGTGCCAGAGCTTTAAAGTACCTGACTAATATCAGGGACAAACAGAATTGAGATAGAATCTGTAAACTAAAATGTACCTTTTTGCCAGGCACCAGTGGCTCACACCTATAATCCCAGCTACTGAGGGAGGCAGAGATCAGGAGGATCATGGTTCAAAGCCAACTGGGCAAATAGTTCGTGAGACCCTAGCTCGAAAAAACGCTTCACAAAAAAAAGGGCTGGTGGTGTGACTCAAGGTTTAGAACCTGAGTTCAAGCCCAAGTACCACACACACAAAAAATGTACCTTTTCCTCTTAATGTTCTACCAGATCATCCTTGCAGATCATTATTCACAGATTTAAATTTTGCTTCTTCCTTCTAAGAGGCATAGAAAGAGGAAGAGAAATGTTGTGTTATATAATAGATTTACTGAAGAAAACAATTACATGATTGGATTATTTTTTAATAGATAGCGTCTTGCTGTACTGGCAGGCTGGCCTCAGACTCCTGAGGTAGTGATTCCCCTGATTCAGTCACCCTGAGTAGCTAGGACTATATGGGCACATGCTACTGCATTGTGCACATGATAGGATTTGTGTTGCTAGGTCTGTACCATTATTTTATACCTCTTGATCTTTTGTTTTTATTATAATACTACAATTGGCATCATAGATTTGGCATTTACTACAGGCATATTCTGCCCTTGTCTTCTAATTTAAGCAAGTCAAAATAATGTATTAGTATTTTAAAGACATTTCACCCTTAACTCAGCATTTCCCAAATTTATTTGACCTCAAGCCCTTGTTTATGGGGAGCATTTCACAGGATTAATGTTTCACAGAGATGCTGCCTAATTAAAATTTATAACTGATAAATGCTTAGTAAAGGCTGCCAGTTCTTTTAATAATATTGACTAATTTTTGTTGTTCTTTTTGACAGGGACTGGCCTTGAACTCTCAATTCTCCTGCCTCAGCCTCCTGGATGCTGGGATTATGGATATGCATCACTATGCCCAGCATTGACTGTTTTACATCTATTTTAAAACCCTAACAACACAATGGTTTAGTGTAGAAAATACCATAAACCACAATACCTTTTGATAATCACATCTCTTGTTTTAGTCCTCTTTCATATTGATTCTAAGTTGGAGAGTGATACAGGGTCAGTTCTAGGTCTAAATTTTTTGTTTTGTTTTTGAGACAGGGTCTTGCTATATAGCTCAGGCTAGCCTCAAACTCAAGATCTTCCTCTGGCAGTCTCTCCTGAGTGGTGGGATTACAGGTTTGTGCCACCACTGCTGACTACTAGTTCTAACTTTTTTTTCCTTTCTTTGTTTTTTTTTTTTTTCATGGGACTGGAGTTTGAACTCAGGGCTTCTTGCTTACAAAGCAGTCACTGTACCACTTGAATATACTCCAGCCCACTTTGCTGTATTTTGGAGATGTGGTCTTGCAAACTGTTTTGCTGGGCTGGCCTTGAACCATGATCTTCCGGATCTTAGTCTTCCAAGTAGAATTACAGGCATGAGCCACTGGCACCTGGCTAGGTCTACCTTGAGAGAGCCCTGGCAGCTTCCTCTTTGTGCCTTTGACAGAGCCCCAAGCCCAAAATACAGAATTAGGCTATGGTGATTGAAAGACTATTTGGAAAGGAAAAAGTCCTGAGACCATGTTGTTATGCTACCCATTTTCTGTCCCTAGTGCCTAGATCAGAGCCTGGCAAGACATAGTTACAGAATGAATGAATATATGAATTTGACTTTTGTTTCATTATAGCCTGCTGTAGTCATCCATTTCCTAGTTGACACAGATGGAATGAAAGCAGCTCATTTTGTTGGTAAAAAAACTTTAGTAGTGGTGATGTTATTGACTATGATTGGAAACTGAGTTTTTTTGTCTTTCTCTTTGAACCCAGGTGTCACACATGTGACACACACATTCTACCACTGAGCTGTACCCATAGCTCCAAATTAAGTTTTTAAATTATTCATTTGTTCACATGTGCATATATTGTTTGGGTCATTTCTCCCCCCTGTCCCCCTCCCCTACTCTCTCCCCTCTCCAAATTAAGTTTTAAATTGGAAATTAAACCAAAAAGAAAAAGAAAACCAAAATTATACTAGGGGTTTTCTGTGGGGCTTTTTTTCTTGCTTTTATGATAAAAGGTACTTTTATGAGGTAGGGTCTCATTATGTAGCCCAGTCTAGCCTTGAACTTGCAATCCTCCTGACTTAGCCTCCTGAGTGTTGGGATTACAGGTGTTCACCACTATGCCTGGCAAAAGATGCTTCTAAAAAGTCTGTTATACCCATTAGGACTGTCTCTTTTACAGTGTGGTACTGTGAGAAAAATCTTTTAGAATCTTGGTTATGTCTTATGATGGTAATTTTTAGCACTAAATTTGACAAATGCACATGTGCACATGTTTACTTCCTCAAACTTAATCTTCAATACATCAGGAATGTGATTACATTTGTATTTTGAACTCTGTGTGTTTTATTTTATAGGTCCATTCAAAAGCTTGGTGAATTAAATATTGGAATGGATAGCCTTGGTAATGAGGTGGCAGTGCTCAACCAGCAGTGTAATGGGAGCAAAGGTGATGGATCGAATAGTTCATCTGGGACTAGTTTTGCTACGCCACCTCAAGACTCCAGTCAAAGATTAACACATGATGCTTCAAATATTCACACAAGCACTCCCCGGAATCCTGGATCAACAAGTCATATACCTTTTCTTGAAGAATCGCCTCCTTGCGGAACCCAAGTGTAAGTGCTTGACGTTCTAAAACCAGGAACTATAGAAACTATAGGAATGTGGAAAGTTGAACTTCTCTTTGGATCCATATAAATGAAAGTTTTCAGAGCTCACTACCTCCTCAATTTTTTTGTCATCTGCCCTAATTTATATTCTAGTCTACCAATTTCTTAGTCTCTTCATGGTTTTTAGAATTTTTGCTTTTTTGGAACAGGTTCTCCCTGTGTAACTCAGGCTGGCCTTGAACCAGCCTAGTTATAAAGCCTATACTGCCTCAAGCTCACGATCCTTGTGCCTTAGTCTCCTAATTGCTGGGAGCTGGTATAGTCTTTATTTTTCTTCTTTTTGCTTCCTCACCATCACCAAGGTGATTCTGGGATTTTTTCTTTTCTTTTTTTTTTTTTTTTTTAGGCCTACACCTTGAGCCACTCCACCAGTCATTTTTTGTGAAGAATTTTTTTGAGATAGACTCTCAGGAACTATTTGCCCAGGCTGGCTTCGAACCTTCATCCTCCTGATCTCTGCCTCCTGAGATAGCTAGGATTGCAGGCATGAGCCACTGGTGCCCGGCCTGGGATTTTCTGTTTTAAATAAGTCTTCTTACTCAGAGAACCTACAGTTTTAGGCCTTATCTTCTTGATTTTCTTGTCTTTGTCATCTTTCAACAAACGGTCTTAAAACTCACAGACTTTTTATGGTAAAGAAGGTGTGTTATATCATGCTGGAGTGATTGTTGGAAGACCATATTGGCAGCTCTGACAATTACAGCAATTGGAAACTTGGCACATCTATGTTTTCACTAGTCAGAGAAAATTTATACTGTTGTTATTAGTAAACAAGTATTAATTTATGCAATGAGAATAGTTCAGGAGGATTTCCTTCTGTCCTTAACAAAAACACTTTTCAGGGTGGTTCATTTAAAAATGCATAACTCACCTTTGCTACTTAGCCTTGTAATTAATCCTGTACTCTGCTTTTACTGCAGAACATGGTTGTCTAATATTGACTTCTTCATTATCATTCCCACACTTGTTTTGACTGCTCCCCAAACTTGTACTCAAATTTTAAATTAAAATTTTAAATTTTAAATGTAGTGTACATACATGGTTTTCAAGTCAAATAGGTGCCACCCTTTTGCAAAACAAACAAACAAAAAACAGGCCAAAAAAACGAAAGACAAATAGTACTTTTAAAATAAAATCATAATCCCATATCCTACTTGTCTTTGCCATGTTGTCTGTTTCCTGCAACCTGTCATTTTCAACCCATTTGTATATTTCTTTTTTATTTATTTTCACATTTCTGAATATGATGCTTCTTTTTTGTTTCTATTTTATTTTTTAAATTTTATTTTCTTTTTGAATGAACATATATTAATAACACAAGGGGATTTCATTGATATAATTCTGTACATGCATACAATGTACTTTGAACAAGTTCACCCCCTCACTTATATTTCAATTTCCCCCCCTCCATCCATCCCTTTTTTTGTTGTTTGTCTCAGCCTTCCAACTGCTGGGATTACAGATGTGTGCCACCATGCCTGACTGAATAAGATGGTTCTGTTGCTTTTTTTCTCATTGATTCCTCATCATTGTCATCCACAGCACACTCACTTTTTGTACCTTTCTTTTCAATATATATGTGTGGTTTTATAAATCAGTGTCAGTGTTAATATTGGTATGGCTATCACTGTTACTGTTTTTTTTACAACTGGACCATATAAATGTAACAGGATTAGATTTCATTTTCATATAACTTCTTATTTTTGTGGGGGCAATAATTGCCTCAATTTGCTATACAAGTGTATGTGCACATATGCTTGGTTTTCTTAGTATTTTCATTAACCTCTTCAAAATAAAACAGAAGTTTAAAATCATTAAACTTCTTTCATTATAATAAAAACTGTAAGATAATTTTCTTTATTCCATCCCACTCCCCCCCCCACACACTTTGGGAGACATCCTTCCAGGATAATTCTTATTACTTTTTTTTTTTTTTTTGGTGGTACTAGGGTTTGAACTCAGGGCCTCAAGCTTGCTAGGCAGGCACTCTACCACTTGAGCCATGCACCCAGCCCATTATTTTATATCCATTGTTTCTAGGCCATTTTAAACAGGCCCGAAGACACTGGGACTTTCCTCACCAACTTCCAGAGATTTCCTTTGCTCCTCCCTGTATTGGACCCCTGTTTTTAGGATCTGTGTAGTTTCTTGGAAAGGGAACTACATGTCTAAAAATGTGCTTACTCTATATCACCTCTGATTTCTTAGCATGGAATTCTAGGATGGAAATCTTTCCTCAGTATTTCAATGGCACTGCTACATTTTCTTCTAATCTTTATATTTTTTATTAAGAAGTCTCATGCTACTGGGCATCAGTGGTTCATACATGTAACCCTAGCTAATAGGGAGGCTGAGATCAGGAGGATTAAGGTTTAAGGCCAGCCTAGGCAAATAGTTATCCAAAATAACCAGAGCAAAATGACTGAGGTGTGGCTCAAGTGGCATAGTGCCTGCTTTGCAAGTGCAAAACCCTGAGTTGAAACCTTTCTTCCCTGATATTCTGAAATTTCATGCTGATATATTTCAGCATGAGTCTGTGTGTTTCTTCATTCTGTGTTAGTTACTTTTGTGCAGCAATGACAAAAATACTTGACATAAACAGCTTAAGGGAGGAATTAGTTATTTTAGCTCACACCTGGTCTCAGAGGTTTCAGTCCACAGCCCATTCCTGGCCCAAGGTGAGACAGCACATCATGGTGGTGGGAGCTTGTGGCATAGGCTACTCACCTCATGGTGGTGAGGGAGCAGAGAGGTGAGGGGAAGGGACCAGGGACCAAGTATAATGTTCAAAGGCATGACCCCAGTGACCTATTTACTCCAGTGAGGCCCTACGTCCTAAAGTTTCCAACATCTCCCAAAACAGCGCCACCAGCTGGGATCAAGCTTTCAACACATGAGCCTGTGGGAGTATCTCATATTCAAACCATGACAGTGAGTTTTTTTAAGCTGGAAACTTAAGTTATAGAAAAACTGAGAAAATAGTATCTTAATGAGGTTTGGACTCAGGACCTTGCATTTGTTAGGCTGATACTCTAGCACTTAAGCCATGCCCCCAGTCCTGTTTTGCTTTTTATGGCTGGCCTTCAGTTCTCCTACCTATGCCTCCTGCATAGCTGGGATTACAGGTGTAAACTATCATGCTTGATTTTTGATTGATGCGCTTACTTTTTGCCTATACTGGCCTTGAACTGAGATCCTCCCAGTCTCCAGTGTAGCTGGGATTGCAGGCATGCACCACCATACCTAGCACGTATTTTAATTTTCTAAGAGCTCTATTCCCCAAATTTTCCTGCTTTAAAAATAGCTCTTGCTCATTTCCAGAGTTCATTATTTCCTGTTACATCTCTAAGGATTATAATTATATTTTGATAGCCTTGTACTCTGAGTTGTCTCGCTTCTAAATTTCTTTTTCTGTTTGTTATAGTCTCTAGCTTTTATCTAGGAGACTTTCTTCAAGTATTTGAAACACTTTGGCTGTTTATAATGAGTGAGGCATTAAAAAAAGAGAAGTAATAATGGGTGGATTTCTCTGCCTTTGACCTCACAGAATAGTGATTAAGTGGAAATATGTTTTATTAAGGGACTGTAAACTGTTAGTTTGGGTTAGGTTTTTTTCTCTCAGGCCAGATAATTTTCCTAAAGAGACATCTCTAAGCTCTTGCATGGGGTAGGACTAAGCACTGCAAACAGAATTCTGGAATACGAGTACTTGGCATCCTACCATAAAATGTATAGACTTGACTAAATCGTTCTAGAATGGCTCTTCACCCTCTTTACAACACTCTTTGGAGTGATGTAAATTCAGAGCTTCTTAATAAATGTCTCCACAGAGTCGCTTTTAATGGGATCATTGAAGATTATTTGTTAAAAGGAAAAATTAAAGATAGGAAGATTAAATTTAGTTTCTGCTTTGATATTCAGAGTAAACTTTATTTGAATTTCTACTCCCACAGCTCATCAGAACATTCAGTCATTAAGCCATCTCTTGGAGATTCTTCAGGGAGTTTATCAAGGTCAAGAGGGGAAGAGGTAATACTTTGGAGAAGGATGTTTCATTGTTCTCATATATATTTGTAAATGTTGCTAAGGAATTCTCAATTCAAAGAAAACCGTTTTTGGAAACGGTCATTTATTGGTAATATTGGTATTTATTTCAAGGTAGTTGAGCTCTTAATGAACCAAGTAGAGAGGTTGCCTTAGAAAACATCTTTGGGGATATTCATATTAATGGCCCAGTAGTAACCTTGAATTGGGACTGCATGCTGTTTTCTGAACCACCTTATAGTTATTTGTTTAGATAATGTTGGTATTTCCGTCAGGCCTCTAGCATCAGTATACTTGCTTTTTGCTTTGGAATCAGACATCCTTTCCTAACTATCTTTTTTTTCCTAGTTCACATTTTAACCCCATAAACAAAGGTGTTCTTTCAGATGCCTATAGGGAATCAAACAAGTAACATAGTAAATAAAGTCAGCCATTTTCATAATATGTACATAGGAATATTTGTCCCTTGCACAAAAATTTGTACAATCCTAGTATTTTCAGTTCTTCTGATTTTCAACAAAAGTTAGAAATCTAGATTTTCACATGAAATTTCCTGTTTAATAAATGACTAAAAATTTTAAAAAGTTAAAATATACTGAAGGAGAACAAATAAAATTAATTTTTTTGACTGCTGCAACCCTTATTATTAATGTACTACTTAATCAATTAGTAATTCTCCCTTTTTCTCTTTATCTTCCCCATATTATTCATTTAGCAGAATGATATTCCTTGTATATTAATTAATGAAAAGTGTAGTACTTCTAGTCAAATTCATATGAATAACAGAATTCAATTATATAAGGTGCACATAGTGGGATACTGGTTTTGCCCCGTAGTCCCCAAGTGAGGTTGTATTGTATGGATACATAAAAGCTTAGCTAGGAAGAAGGATAGTCTGTTTCTTCATGGTATAGTCATTGGTCCTAGAGCTCTTAGACACAACCAGAGCTGAAGTGATTTACCTTTGTGTGTATACTTGACATTAGTACTTCCCAAAGACAGGATTTGGTTGGCTCTCTTGACCACACCCTGTCTAGAGATCCCTGACCCAGGTCCAGTTAGTCCTGTGGCCCCTGTATCACATTTAAATTATAGTTTGATTTTAAATGGCAACAATAGCAGGAGTTGCCAAAACTTTTATACAGAGCCACTTTAACTTGCCTCTGTGTGGGAGAACTATGGACAGTTTAAAATAAACTTGAAACTCAAATGTTCTGATTAAAATCATTTTTTACAGTTTTGAAAGGGACTTTTACGATTTCAGTTTGAGATACTGAAATTCATTGCTGGAGGTAATGGTGCACTTTCTTTTTCTTAACCCTAAGTGGATTAAATAATAGCCTTGTATTTCCTACTTTTTTGAGGGGGAGGGGGCTCTCACTGGTGCACTTTCTTTTTCTTAACCCTAAGTGGATTAAATAATAGCCTTGTATTTCCGAGGGGAGGGGGTTCGTCTCGAACTTACCGTGCTTCAGTTCCCAGGCAGTAGCCTGAATACTTCCTGCTTTTAGAAATGGGAATGATGTCCTGTCATTTTTGCCAGAACATTTAGATTTGTGAACTTTCTCCCTGAACATTTTAAAGAGAACTTAGTGTGGGAATGTATATTTCATCTTATATTTTGTCTTAATCAGTAAAGAAAAACTTGAGTGTTTATGGACTGTTTGTTTTTGGTTTAGTAATGATCAAATGTAAAATAGAAAATTAGAATTAATTTGGATTTGTTGCTTAAAAGAGTTTTGGTAGCTAACATGATTAATCAAAAAGGAATAACAGTTCAAATGAATTTAAAATTAAATAAAGATGAGTTCTTTCAGTCTTTTTTTCATAGGATGACTTTTATATTTCTTTTCATTCATTCATAGGATGACAAATCAAAAAAGCAATTCGTTTGTATTAATACCCTAGAAGACACACAAGCTGTTAGAGCAGTGGCTTTTCATCCAAGTGGTAGTTTATATGCTGTTGGTTCAAATTCAAAAACTCTGAGAGTATGTGCCTATCCAGAAGTAATAGATCCAAGGTAAGAAAACTAGCTTGTATTGCCATACTTGCTTTTTAAAAAATTACCCTTATTAGTCCCCTTTTCAGGATTACCATTTGGTAGTGTTTCAAGCTTTATTTTTATTTTCAATGCTTACAAAATACAATTAACTCATTAATTTTATGATTTTTTTTTTGTTTTCAGGTCATTGTGCATTAAGTACTCTAGTCTTCCTTATTTCTGTGATTTTTATATTTTCTTTTTTATCTGAAAGTTCTTATATTCCAATTAATTTACATGAGATAAAAGCACAGTAAGACTGGTTACAAATTGGAGAAATATACACTTCTTATAATAGTCTCAGAGGAGTTTATTTTAAACTAGATGAAACTGACCATTTTAAACCTATGAGCGTTAAAATTTCACTTGATTTTACCCTCTTATTTTACCAGCTTGTGGGATTTGAAAATAGGCATGTATCTTTAAAGACATATCATTATAAATGTACACACGTGTAACTCAGTGGTAGAGCTCTTGTCTAGCATGCACAAGATGCTGGATTCAATTCCCAGCACTGTAAAGAAATGTTTTTTTAAATAGTTCAGATGTAGCCTCATAGAAATCTGGATTTAAACCCTACACTTTGATTAAGTACTCTTTATGTCAATCTATTCAAATGTTCACTATCAGAGGTATTAGAGAGATAATAACCCATTTGTGGTTAGGAAAATGAATGTCACAAAAGAATAGTCTGTAGCTGGGTGAGGTGGCTTACACCTGTAATTCTAGCTGCCCTGAAGGCAGAGATTGAAAGGATCTCGGTCCAAGGTCCAGGACAAAAATGAGAGACCCTATCCAAAAAATAACTAAAGCAAAAAGAGCTTGGGGTGTGGCTCAAGTAGCAGAGCACTTGCTGTACTCCAGGTCCTGAGTTCAAACTCTAGTACTGCCCTCCACCCAAATTAAAAGGAATAGTTTTTATATCAATATACAGAAGCACTCAACAATATAAACCTTTAAAAGTTTTAATTATCAGAAGTGCCACATGCCAGATACTGGTGGCTCATGCTTGTAATCCTAGCTATTTGGGAAGGTTGTGTTTCGAGGCCAGCCTGGGCAAATAGACCCCACCTCTAAAATAACCAGAGCAAGGACTGGAGGTGGCTCAAGTGACAGAGTACCTGCTTTGTAAGTGTGAAAACCCGAGTTCAAACCCCAGTCCCACCAAAAAACAACCACCGAAAAAACCACAAGTGCCACATGTCATAGTATGTTTTAATAATTTTTTTACAACTCTTAAGACTTATTTATTTAAAAAATTTTTAGGCAATACTGAGGGTTGAACTTAGGGCCTCTTGCTTGCTAGGCAGGCGCTCTACAGCTTGAGTCATACACTCAGCCAAGACTTACTTATTATTCTCACTTTAGTTTCAGGAAAGAAGGATGGGATTTTTTGGCTATCTCTATGTCTGAAACCAATGATTTTGACTTTTAGCCTGTGGTAGCATTTATAGATTGGGAAAATGAATCACAAGGACCCATGTTAGGTCATAATATTATAATTTACTTTGTGCTTATTGTATTATTAAATAGAAATACTCAAAAGACAGAATTCTAAATTAGGGATTGGAAATAGCAGTATTTGTGGAGGCAGAGCTAAAGTCTTCTATGTGTAGAGGTAATGTTATTTTAAGTTAACTATCATCTTTTTTTATTTTTACACTGGCACAGTTGTTTCATGGACTGTAAAACTAACATTTATAAAAATAAATTAATTTAGCAAATTTATTTTGAGCTCCAGTGTTCTGGATTCAGGTTTTAGTTAGGGCTAGTTGTGTATAAAACAAAGATGTTTATTTACTGAATCTTCTGGTTTAGTGGGGAATATGGACATTAAGGCAATAAGCACACAGATAAATATGCTTATCCATGGTGACAGATATTAGGAAAAAAATGGTAAAATTCTGTGAGAATGTAAAATGGGGATGGGGGATGGTGTAGGGTACAGCCTGGTGGGTCAGAGAAAAGGCTCTTTGAGGAAAAGCTTTTAAATCTGAGATCTGAGCATGACTGAAGACAAGGGAAATGACAATAATACAGTAAAAACAGGAGATGAAAGAGAACTTGGCTTTTTGAGGAACTTAAATTCAGATTGGTTGGAATATGGTGAGCTAGAGTGAGGTAAGTCCACAGAGAGAGACAGGAAGTAAATTATGCAGCGCTCTCTAGCTGTGGTAGATTTTTGTCAAGTGTAGTGGAAAGCTGCTGGAGGTGAACAGAGCAAGTGTGATCTAAACATGGTTTGAGATGATCACTCTTAACTTTGGATTGGACAGCCATAAGAGCAGACACTAGGATAAAGACAAAAGGCCACATCTAAAACTGCAGATGCAGCAAAGATGGATGGGTAGAGTTGAGGTAAAGTCCACTAGAGAAAGGATCCAATTAGGACTGGGCTGATTTGTTCTCCATATCATTATTAAACACTCTGAAGATTTATCAGTATTGTTTCTTATACTTTTTTTGGAATTTTTCCCTAATTATGAAAATTCCCAAACACCAAAAAATAAGAGAGACAAGTACACTGCAGAGAAATAGTTGTCAAGGTTTTTGTCACATTTTCTTCATTCATCTTTTTTGTTTATTTGCTAAAGTATTTCAAAGTAAGTCCTAGATACCATGTCATTTTTACCCTTTTATTCTCCAGAATGAATCTCCAGAAATGTAGTTTTCTTTTTTTGTGTGTGCTTTCGTTTTACAGTTTTCTTACATAGAAGTGATGAATAATTTAACATTATACCTAATAAAAAAGTCTTTACTGTATGATATTAGTCTGCATTTTGAAGTACAGATAAGATGCTGTTCCTCCACTAATCCAGTGTTTGACTGTCACTAAAAGCCAAACTCGAGAACATGGCATTTAGGATGCTCCACAGCCGAGCCCCTCACCTTACCTCCACACATGTGTCCTTCACCATTTCCTGGACCCTGAGTACCTGTGTTTATCACATTAGCTCTGCAGGCTCTTTCTCAGGACACATGTTAAGCCAGCACTTTACCAACTGTCTGTTTCCACTGGATGCTGTTCTCCTGCCTTCATTATCCTTTAAGGCCCAAAACTTTATACAGACAATAACAACATATATTTGGTTTACCATACATGGGTGGACATGACAGTATCTACTCTACTAGATTTTAAACTCTGGAAAGAGATCTTGCCTCCTTTATTTTTATACATTCTTCACTTTCCCCTAACCTCAGGCACATTGCTCATATCATTTGTTTAAAGAATTTTTATTGAGCCGGGCACTGGTGGCTTACATCTGTAATACTAGCTATTCAGGAGACTGAGATCAGGAGGATTGTGGTTCAAAGCCAGCTCAGGCAAATAGTTCCATGAGACTGTATCTCAAAAAAACCACTTCACAAAAAAGGGCTGGTGGAATGGCTCAAGGTGTAGGTCCTGAGTTCAAACCCCAGTGTCATACAAAAAAAAAGAATTTTTAATGAATTTTTATCATTTGGAAGCATTAACTTTCTTTTTTTATGAGTTATAAATCCATGAAAAATATGAGAATTGAATTTTTTTTGGGGGGGGGGGCTGGGATTTTAACTCAGGGCCTCACACTTGCTAAGGCAGGAGTCCTTACCACTTGAGCCAGTCCACCAGCCCTATTTTTTTTTTAAATCATATATCCAGTTTCCTATGTGATATGAAATAAGAAATTAGAGCTGGGTGCTGGTGGCTCACGCCTGTAATCCTTGCTACTTGAGGGGCAGAGAGTCAGAGATTCGAAGCCAGCCCAGGGAAATAGTTTGTGAGACCCTGTCTGGATAATACTTAACACAGACAGGGCTGGTGGAGTGACTCATGTGGTAAAGCACCTGCCTAGCAAGTGTGAGGCCCAGAGTTCAAACCCCAGTACCGCCAAAAAAAATAAGAGAGAGAGAGAAATTAGTGTGATAATGGTCTATAATTTTACTTTTTGGATTTTGAATATGCTTTCCATTTATTCTTTTATGATCTTGAAAACTGTTAATAACCTGTTTTTATTCCTCCCTCAAAAAACAACCAAAATGTAGAATTTCATCTTAACTAATTTTAGCAAGTAAGAAATTGAGTTGTCTTTATGTAATTTTTCTCTGCAGTGCACATGACACTCCTAAGCAGCCAGTGGTACGTTTTAAAAGGAATAAACATCATAAAGGATCCATTTACTGTGTGGCTTGGAGTCCTTGTGGTCAGTTATTAGCAACAGGATCAAATGACAAATACGTTAAAGTGCTGCCCTTCAATGCAGAGACTTGTAACGCAACAGGTAGGGCCCAAGTATGTAAGCAGTAGCTTTCTTGCCAGTGTGTACTTTGTACTTACCCTGCGTTGAAGCTCTCTGTTGTCTTTAGTGGAATCTGGGAATGTAATCCTAAAAAAGGTTTCTACATTCTTATTGTTTAGTCACAATGAACATTATTCTTTTTTAGTACATTCTTACAGGTGGCCTGTAAAATTAACAGAAAAGTAACTTTGGATTGGAGATGTAAGCTCAGTACTTGAACTCTGGCCTCACATGTGCAGGCCCTGGATTCAATCCCTAGCATTGTGCATGTGGGTAGGTGCAACACACACACTTTTAAATAACTCCCAGAATTGGATTAATGGATATTTTTAGAGAGTTATCTGTCCTGTCATTTTCTTTGAAACAAAAGACAAGTTAGAAGGTAACTATACATAGCTCTGTTTTTAGGGATGGTTATAGATGAATCAGTATTCTGATTTCTTGAAATTCTATGCTCAGTGAAGTGAAGCTGATATAGTATTAATCCCTAAGTGAAAATGTAAACCTTAAGACTGCATTATTATTCTCGGCCAGTTTGACGCAGTTTAGCAATCTCGTTATCACAGTGAGGTGAGCAGCATCTTTTTTTTTTAATTCCTTACTGCTGTTTCAGGACCGGATCTGGAATTTAGTATGCATGATGGGACAATTAGAGACTTGGCATTTATGGAAGGCCCAGAAAGCGGCGGAGCTATTTTAATAAGTGCCGGAGCAGGGGACTGTAACATTTATACAACAGATTGTCAAAGGGGACAGGGCCTCCATGCTCTGAGTGGACATACTGGTATGTAATGTCACTTAAGTGCTGCCTTTCCTTTTGTTGCTCTCCAACCTGTATTGTTTTCCTTTCTTCAGCTTCATTAATGGAGCGTATTTCATTAAAATGAATCTTTTCAGGATAAGAAGTTTTTATTTCAAAAACTTAAATTGTGAACTTCGGATAGCCACGCAGTAAGAACTAACATTGATATTTCCCTGTGTGCTCAGTTATTTATCACATATTTCCTTAACTTAGTCCTCACAACCACTTTATGATGTAGGAAGTTTTTCCCTCATTTTACACATGAAGAAAGTGAGATTGAAAGGGCAAAATGAATTGCCCAATATGACAAGACTAGTAAACGGTAGAACTAAAATATGACTCCAGACTGTCTCTTCTCATACTAGTAATCAAACTCTACAAAATATTTTCTCTTGTGTTTCCCAGTGTGGATCATTGTTTAAAATGATAATTTTTCTGCATTAATTATGATGTCCAGAAATACAGAAAGAGGAGTCACCAAAGAAAAATTGAGTTTGTCCAGTATGGTTTTGATGTGCATTTTACTGAATTTTAACTTTTTGGAAATTGTAATCTAACTGATACACGTAGAAGATCTCTGTCACATAGTATAGCTGACTAATCAGACCATCACTTGTCCAGGGATGAGGTGTATGTAGCATTGGAAATATGGAACAGTACTCTTCCACTGAGTATATGACCTCTTACAGGGCATATTTTGGCACTTTATACCTGGAGTGGCTGGATGATTGCATCTGGTTCCCAAGATAAGACTGTTAGATTCTGGGATCTTCGAGTGCCAAGCTGTGTTCGTGTTGTTGGCACAACATTTCATGGAACTGGTAGGTTTTCCATGAATTTAAATGAAGTTGCATGAGAAAGAAACTTTATAAATTTCACTAGCCTACTTTTCTCCCTCTGCAATATATAAAAAAATAGAAATTATAAATAAATGCTTTGTATTTTATTGATTACTTTCATTGTTTTCAAAATGCTTTCATTTGTTACTACATTTGGGGTTTGAACTCAGGGCTTCATGCTTGCAAAGCATGCATTCTGTCACTTGAGCCACACCTCCACTCCATTTTGCTCTGGTTATTTTGGAGATCGGTTCTCTCGAACTATTTGCCTGGGCTGGCCTGGAACCCTGATCCTCCCGATCTCAACCTCCCAAATAGCTGGAATTATAGGCAGGAGCCATTGGCTCCTGGTTCATTTGTTACTATATTTATAAAAATAATACCGAGCTTAGGAAATCGAGGCTCACAGAGATTAAATATCATGCCTGAGGCTATTCTGTTATTTGTTAGCAGGGTAGTTGATTTTGTTTGTTTGTTTGTTTGTTTTGTCTTGGTGGCACTGGAGTTTGAACTCAGGGCCTCAACACTTGCTAGGCAGGCACTGTTACTGCTTGAGCTATTCTGCCAGCAACAGAGCAACTTAGAGCTTAGACCTTTAAATATGTTTTTTAAAACAGGGCTGGGCACAGTGGCTCATGCCTGTAATCTCAGTTACTTTGGAAGCAGAGATTGGGAACCCAGGCAAAATGGTAATGAGACCCCCTTTCAACAAATAAGTCGGCCATGGTGCTTCATGTCTGTAATCCCAGCTACATAGGAGGAGAATCAAGATCCCAGGCAAAGAATAGAAGACCTTATCTGAAAACAAAAAAACCCCAAAAAACATAAAAGGGCTAGGGGCATGGTTTAAGTGTTAGATCACCTGCCTAACAAGCACAAAGCCCTGAGTTTAAACCATAGTACCATCAAAACAAAAAAAGGAGAAAACCCCAGCATTGATCTTAACATGTAGCTCCAGTGGTAGAGTGCTTACCTAGCATGTACAAGTCCCTGGCTTGATCCCCAGCACTGAAAAAACCAAAAACAGCATTGCTTTGGGAATTGGTCCTGTCGTTTTAGCCTCTACTTCATTGCTGATTTCTCAGAGACAACTATTTTTAACTTTTGTAGAAATTTTATATTTATTTCCATATTCCTAAATAACAGGATTATAATCATATTTTTAGGCTTATTTCTTGCTATGTTGTAGTTTTGGTATATTGATTTTCCATATTGAAACTCACCTTCCTCACCACAGGCAGTGCAGTGGCATCTGTAGCTGTAGATCCCAGTGGACGTCTCTTAGCAACAGGTCAAGAAGATTCTAGCTGCATGTTGTATGACATAAGAGGAGGAAGAATGGTGCAAAGTTATCACCCTCATTCCAGTGATGTTCGCTCTGTTCGATTTTCCCCTGGCGCTCACTACTTGCTAACAGGCTCTTATGATATGAAAATAAAGGTGACAGACTTACAAGGTATTGAGATTGACCTCTTCTGTTTGTCTTTAGTCTGTCTTATTCTATTTGGGGGTCTTTCTTTTTTGCTAGCCTATTGTGATTGACTAACATTTTCAATTTTACAATATTTATTAAGCAGATTACTAAAATGCATGAGGATTTCTTGTAAATTATTAACTAAACAGAGTGAATCTTATTTTTATTGTTAAATAGTTTTATCTATTATGCTGAATCATTCTATTGTGAGAAATGATAAGTTTATGTACTCATATCAGCGTCTTTAAAAAATATTAGTGGATAATCTGTGTAGTTAGGTCTTCATTAAGCAGATATTTACTGCATACTAGTTTGGGACAGACCAATAGATAAATATAAGACAGTTAACTCCCTCTTTGATGGAGCAAGTGGTCAATAAAAAGTAAGCCAATAAATTTTAGGAAATTTTAGGTACGCCAGTGCTATTTAAAAATTTTAGCATAGTAAGAGATAGTTACTGGAGTGGACAGGGGAAGGCTATTTTAGATGGGATAGTTAGAGTAGGTGTCTATAGAGAAATGCCATGTGCCTAGAGTCTTGAATGATGAGAAGGACTAAACCTTGCCAAGACCCTAGAGGAAGAAATAACAAGTATACAGATGCTGAGGTGGGAATAAACTCAGTATGTAATTATACTGCAAGAAGCCAAAGTGACTGGAACTTAATGAACCAAGGGAAGAGAGAGACAAAAGTCTCAATCAGAGGCAGGGGTTTGTAGGCATTAAAATAAAAACAAAACAAAACAAAAAATAGGAGCCAGGCACTAGTGGCTCATACCTATACTCTTAGCTATTTTGGAAACTGAGATCAGGAGGATGATGGTTCCAGGTCAGCTGGGCAAATAGTTCACAAGACCAGACTCCATCTCCAAAATAACTACAGCAAAATGTAGTGCAGGTGTGGCTCAAGCACTAGAGTGCCTGCTTTGCAAGCACAAAGCCCTGAGTTCAACAACAGTCCCACACAAAATACAGGCTATTTTTTTTTTTGCAGCATTGGAGATAGCAGGCCTATTTTTAACAGCAGTTGTAGGTTAATAGCAAAATGGAGAGAAAGATACAGACTTCCCATGTACCATCTGTTCCCAGTATGAGTCTCCCCCATCAGAGTGGTCCATTTGTTACAATTGATGAGCTGAAGGCATTTAAAAAGGTATAACATCATTGAAGCCATTGGAAAATTTTTAAATAGAGGAGTGATATTTCCTGAATAACATTTTTAAAGATAATTTTGAGTTCTGTAAGGAGAGTGGATTGAAAGTGGTGCAAGAATAGAAGTGTAAATGTCAGTGAAGATGCAGCTGCAATAGTTCATGTGAGAGATGATGGTGGCTTGGAGGCAAAAGAAGTGGCTGGATTTGAGATATATTTTAATTGGTTTTGGGTTCGATTTAGAGAATAAGAGAATAAGGAATCAGTGATGATTCCCAGGTTTCTGGCATGGCAACCAGATGGTGCCTACTTGAGATGAGGAAAATGGGTGGGGAGGAACAGAATTGGGCAAGAAAACCAAGAGTTTGGTTTTAGAGTTGTTAAATTTGAGATGACCTACTGTTGCAGGAGGGCTCAGACAGAGACTGAGAGGGAACCAAAGCTTTCAGGAAGCAAGTTTATTAAGCAAGATGGTAGCAACTCAGCGGACTCGTGTCCAAAGGCTGAACCCCAAGAACAAAGGGGGCTTTTTCTTACATACCATTTAGAACAGGTTACAGAAATGGCGGGGTGTGGGGGGGTGGTTAATAGCTTGTCCATCATGATCACATGTTATTTTATTGGCTGTTCTAATCTCTGGAGCAAGGTGACCCTTCTCTGGTCTCCAGGTAACATTTCCCATCTCCTGTTTTCCTTTGTTTCACTGTAGCACTCATTAATCTCTCTTCCCCCTCCCTGCCTTCTTGCCACAATACAATTGAGTGAGGTGCCAAATAACTGTTTGGATACTAATTGGGAGCTTAGGTTAAGAAGTCAACATTGGAGATAAAATAGGTGTGAATCATAAGTATATAAATGGCCAAGGTGTAAGATGAAGTTTCAGAGGAAGTGAGATCTTGAGGAAATATTCAAAATCTTCAGGCTAACAGCTAGAAATCAGCAAACTTAAAGCCAGGAAGAGAAGGAAAACTAGCAAAGGAGACTGTGATGGAGTTAGGGAGAAATCAAGTAGAGAGAGTTGCCCAGAAAGTGGCAACTATGTCAGATGTTGTGTATATGTTAGCATATTCTGCTGATACAATTTATCTCTGTCTAAGCTACTGTAGTAGTTTAAAAGTAACAGGAAGCCTGTAAAATCTGTGTTATGCTTATTTTGTCTTACAAATCAACATCTATTTTCTTTTTTAATTTAGGGGACCTCACTAAGCAGCTTCCTATCATGGTGGTAGGGGAACATAAGGACAAAGTGATTCAGTGCAGATGGCACACCCAGGACCTTTCCTTCCTGTCATCCTCTGCAGACAGAACTGTGACCCTGTGGACTTACAATGGCTAGAGTACACCCTGGTTAGTCTCTGCAGTGAAAGCACAGAGACTTAAGACTACTGAATTGTGAGAATGGAAGAGCACAGATGTCCACGGAAGTGGTTTAGAAGAAGCAAACTCCTTGTTACCGTGTATCCTGTTGATAGGAGGTGCTGGGTGGTGGTGTTCCGCAGTGCTTTCAGTCTCCATGTGAGCTCCTGCTTCCGTATTCTTCTTGCCAAAGTCTTTGGAAGAGCTCTTATGTTGGCGTGCACGCCAAGTCAAGGTGGACTGTCTGTCCACGGTTTATTGTTAAATGCACCCCTTGGTCTTTGCCCAAATAACAGTTTTATATACACATTGAAACTGAATTATACTTCAAGTATATTGTTACACATAATGCAACTAAGTTTTACCAAGATTGAACATAGGTGTTCAGAAATTACTTTGCTCTTCTCACAGCCCCATATTGTATCATTTGTCTTCTAGAGGCCAGAATTTGGTATGTCTCAAAATTTACATTGTCATTTTCACTTAAGGATCATTAAGGAGTTTAAAGATGAATAGAAAACTGCTTCTTAGTTCATTAGGTAGTATAGGCCTTTTCTTTTTATTAAACCCAGGGATATGGTTACTATTCTGTCACATAATTTTGTTTCAGGCAAAAGATAAAGTGCTTGCTTCAGTTTTTGAGTGCAGCGAGAGACCTCCCTCGTAAGCTGTACTGTAGAAGCAGAGCAGCAGCAGTGTGGGTGCAGTATTTGATGGTACTTATCCTACTGGCTAGTGTTTTCCTCTTAAAATTAAAAACTTTGCCATAGACTATAGCATGGCTTGAAATGCTATGTCTGCATGATAATTTAAAATGAAAAATTTAAACTTTGCACTCCAAGAGTTTATTTGGATTTTTTTCTTGCACTGTTTTGTGTAATGCAGATTAATGATCTTGTTGGTATGGCATTGTAGATCCTAACATTTATGTATCTTTTATTTTCATATTGTACAGTAATTTTATTTTAAATTATTAAATAGGCTATTTTTATTTATTTCAATTGCAGTAATATTGGTTCTAGTTATTGAACTGTGTGTGCACTGTATGTAGCAAGCATTTTAATCTGTTGTACACAGTGGAAAGAGTATTAGAAGTGTAACTGTGCTTTTATTTCAATAAAGATCTCTTGACACCTAAAACCATTATCTGTTCCTCAAAGTTTATGGCTTTCCATTTAGAATATTTCCCAGTTTACTTGGAGGGAGGGAGTCCATTGGAAGAACCCCATAATCAGTTTCTAATACTTTTTCCTGAAGTTCTCCTACTAGTTTCCTTTTTAACTTTGACAACTGCATAACTTTTATGTCTTCTCCCTCTCCCTCCTTTTCCTTTTTGCAGTGCTGAGGAATTGAGCCCAGGGTCTTGTGCATGCTAGGCAAGTGCTCTACAACTTAGCTATATCCCCAATCTTATATTGTGATTTTTCAATTACTGAAAGCCTGGCAAGCACTGAGGGTATAGCTTAGTGGTAAAGTGCTTGCCTAGCATATGCTAGGCCCTGGGTTTGATCCTCAGCATTGCAAAATAAATAAATAATAAAGGTCTAATGAAATGTAAATTCTAAGTCAGACTCCAAAGATGCTGAACTGTGCTTTTTACCATAGAAATAAATCTGGGTTAGCATCACTTCCTGAGTGAGGTTAGCGGCTCAAAAGACCAAAAATCGTATGTTCTCCCTATATGTGCGAACATTAGATCAAGGGCAAACACAACAAGGGATTGGACTATGAGCACATGATAAAAGCGAGAGCACACAAGGAGGGGTGAGGATAGGTAAGACACCTAAAAAACTAGCTAGCATTTGTTGCCCTTAACGCAGAGAAACTAAAGCAGATACCTTAAAGCAACTGAGGCCAATAGGAAAAGGGGACCAGGAACTAGAGAAAAGGTTAGATCAAAAAGAATTAACCTAGAAGGTAAACACCCATGCACAGGAAATCAATGTGAGTCAATGCCCTGTATAGCTATCCTTATCTAACCAGCAAAACCCTTGTTCCTTCCTATTATTGCTTATACTCTCTCTACAAACAAAATTAGAGAATAAGGGCAAAATAGTTTCTGCTGGGTATTGAGGGGGGGAGGGGAGGGGGTGGAGTGGGTGGTAAGGGAGGGGGTGGGGGCAGGGGGAGAAATGAACCAAGCCTTGTATGCACATATGAATAATAAAAGAAAAATGAAAAAAAAAAAAAAAAAAACAAAAGAGACTATGGTGATAAGAACAGACAGATATTTAAAATGCAATGTGTCAACATTTGGAAGACCTATATAATTCAATGAATCAGTATTTTCCAAATGACTAGTGCATGATGTTATAAACCACGCAAAGATTTTTAAAATACACTCAAAGCATAAGATAGGCCAGTGGATGTTTAATTAACTAAAAGAAAAGTTCATTGATACGTTTCAGGGTCCACACTACCACAGAAATTCAAAGAACTATCATTTGGCCTGATACTGTGGTAACACACCGTGCACATGTGGTAATAAATCTGTAACAACAGCTATTCTAGAGGCAGAGACAAAGAGAATCATGGTTTGAGGGCAGCCCAGGTAAAAGTTAGCAAGACCCTATCTCAAAAACAAGCTAGCATGGTGGCTGTGGTCCTCAGCTACTCAAGAAGTAATGGTAGAAAGGATTGCAGCTCAAGACCAGTCCAGACAAGGTTAACCATAACCCTATCTGAAAAAACAAACTAAAAGCAAAAGGACTGGGTAATGGTTTAAGTGGTAGAGCACCTACCAAAAACAATGAAGAACTGGAGTTAAATCCTCAGTGCCACAAAAAACAAAAACAACCCTACCATCTGAAGAATTTCAGAGTAGTATCAAAGAAGATAGTCAATAGTTATCTACAAAGGCTATTAAAATATGCCTTCTTTTTTGAACTTCAAATCTATATGAGATTGGACTTTCGTCATATGCTTCAACCCACACAATATATGGCAAAAGATTAACTACAGAAGCAGATTTGGGAACCCAGCTTCTTCTATTGCTAGACTTTAAAAGATTTGTCTATCTTCAATTTTTTGTGCTTGAAGTTGTTAAAATGTTTCATTAAAATGTTACTTATATTAAAAAAAAAAAAAAATCTGGTTAGCTTTTAGAAATACAATAGGTACACAGTCTTTCTGTCTTTCAGACAAGCAGAAGGGAATTCTGCTAAAATAGTCCATAGCCTCTTCTTTAGTTTACTTTCATGCTAATCTCATACAATTTTAGGTATTTGTGTCAAGTCCAAAACTAGGAAAAAAGGGCAATTTCTTTAAAAAACAAAAACATGATGTCTCTGTCTCTTTCTTTTTCTTTCTTTTTTTCTCTCTCTCTTTCTCTTTCTCTTTTTTTTTTTTTTTTTTTTTTGGTAGTAACTGGGGTTTGAACTCAGGGCTTCACACTTGCTAGGCAAGGCATTCTTCGTACCTGAGCCTTCTTACCAACTCATTTTTATTTAACAAAGTAAGCAAAAGGATAGTATGGTGGCTCATACCTAATACTCTGAAGGTGGCAATCAGGAAGATTATGGTTCAAGGCCAGCCCCAGCAAAAAGCAGACCCTCTCAATAAGCCGATTGTGGTGGTAACAAGCCTATGATCCAGGATTGCAGTCCGAGGCCAGCCCTGAGCCAAAACTAACCTAAAAAAGGAAAAAAGGCTGGTGGCATAGCTTAAGTGGTAGAGTGTCCTGCCTAGCTAAATGTGAGACCCTGAGTTCAAATCCCAGTACCACAAAAAAAGAGTAAGCCAATAAAGTAAATGATACTTTAATGCTCCTTTTTTTCTTAAAAATTTTGTTAGCATAAGGGCTTAGTGGAGGGCTCAAGTGGCAGAGTGCCTGCCTAGCAAACATGAGCCCCCTCGGTTCAAACTCTAGTACCCACAAATAACTATTATAATTATAAAAGGGTTTTATCGTGATAGTTATGACTACGTATAATGCACTCTGCAAATTCAACCCCATCTGTTACTCTTTCTTAAACTTCCTCCTCCCATCCTTTCTCTTTAACAGTTTTGGTGGATTTCACTGTACTATTTTCATACATTATATAATGTTCTTGTAAATATTCATACCTCACCCTCCATACCCTCTCCTTTCCCTTGCCTCCCACTTGCTGGTTCTCCCCTCAAACAGTCCCCTTCTACGTCATGTCAGATTATTTTTAGGTCTAGGTTCTACAATACTGTTTTTTTTTCCAAGTCAAACTTTGTTTCCTTGTTCTTGATCACAAAAATAATCTTATTTAACCTTGTGAAGGTGACTTTTTTTTTCCCCTCTCAGGGAATCAAAACATTCAAAAATCCGGAGCTTTCTCACCATGGTGTATAGGGTGTATTTCAGACCCACGTATCAGGGTGATACCAGTTGGCTTTAAGGATGGACAGAGTTTGTGTTTCCATTTATCTTTATTTTGCATTAGGCCAACAGGAAGTCCCTGAGAGTAAGTTGACAACTTAAAGAATTTTGTCTTGTTCATGAATGGAACCAGCTATTCCACCCTGCTTTTATTTTATTCCACCCTCTTCTTGGTCATTGGCTGGGGGCAGCCAGGGAAGTACCTAGCATGACACATTAGGAGTTCAAACATGTTACAGTGTCAGCCACTGTGCTCCTGCAGCAGGTTCTCCTGAAGAGAGGTTTGAGTGGGGTACCTCCATGGCTTGATAGCCCACATCTCGCTCTGCACTGATCTCTTCCTCCACAATTGTGGAAGCAGGTTTTTTCATGGTTCCTATGAACTGCTTTTCCTAAGGGGAAACTTTACAGGTTTATTATAAAGAATATTTTTTCAACTTCCTTCTAGCTCTTTGAAATATGTAGTATGTTTTTATTATTTATTGATTTTTTCAATTCCTTCTAGCTCTTTGAAATATGTAGTATGTTTATATTTATAGTCACCATTCTGTGACACCAGAACTTAGTTTCTCAGGGCAATTATTAATAACACCAGTTAATTTCATGGTAAAAAAAGCTCGTTAAAAAAATTAAAAGAAAAAAATTTAAAAAATGTCCTAAGCTGGGAGGTGGCTCCAATAGTTAGAACCCTTCCTAGCCAGATGGAGGCCAGAACTGCCAAAAAAATAAAAAAAGTTAATCACAGATGAAACTTAAATCCTCTAAGTACAAGATACGAATCTTATCTTGTATGCTTACAAGATACAAATAGCTGCAGCCTTACAATATACAAGATATCTTGCAATGCATTAGATAAACACTAGAAATTGTTTTATTTATTGAAAAAAATTTTGGATACACATGTCCATTTTCTGTGCTCCACACTGTCTTCTGCATGGGTTGAATTGATTTGAGGTTCACCACCGAACAAAAATGACAGGAACTGAATATTCAACTCGTCTGAACCCTGCTGAGTTTGGGGTGGGTGGTGGTTGCAGTGGTTCTTAACTTCCCATCTTTTCCAGGTAGGAGCTTAGAGGTCTATTCAAATTTTTTATTAGCACCACATAAAATATAGTACAAGGGGGCTTCACTGTGATAATACCATAGATGTGTACTGTATTTAAACAAGCTCATCCCCTAGTTTATTCCCTTAACCTCCTCCCCGATTCAATTTTTTGCCATTTCTTGTGTTATGTTCTCAAATTTTATTTTTTAAAATATTTAACTATCTTTTAAAAATTGTAATAAGCCAAAGGTATAATCAACAGGCAAAAGGAATCCCATGATCCTTGAGGAAACCACTGATACTTATTTGATTAGGAGTTGATTAAACAGAATCATATAGAGATTCATAAAATGCAAAACCATTAAAAACTTGATTAAAGGGCTGGCAGAAGCTTAAATGGTAAGAGCCACTGTCTAGCAAGTGTGAGGCCCTAAATTCAAACCCCTGGACTTCTAAAAAAAAAAAAAAAGAAACAAAAACATGATTAGAAATTGAGCAAGGGCTTGAATAAACATTTCTCCATGAAACACAGAGAATACAAATGACTACTAACCCACACGGAAAGATGCCCTGCTGGTTGTGAACATGTACCTGGACTCCCAGTTACTTGGAGGCAGCCCAGGAGTTTGGGTAACATAACGAGAGCCAATCTGCAAAAAAAATCTTGACTCACTAGCATTGAGAATGCAATCAAGACCACCTATTATCAAAAACAGTCTCCATAGTAAGCTTGAACAGCCAAGATCCCCACTACTGATGAATGGGGTTAAGAAAAACGGGTATTTAATACAATGGCATTTATCAGCCCAAAGAATGAAAGTTGTCGTTTGCAGATAAAATGTATGGAACTGGAGAACATTATCTTAAGTGAAAGTTATGACAGGTTCAGAAGGCAAAGGTCCCATGTTTTCTTCGTAGAATATAGACTTAATGCAAGTATAGAATATTATGAAAAACAAATCACGCTAAGGGGAGTTCACATACAAGAGGGAGGTAAAGAAGGAGTTAAGAAAGTGAATATGGTTGATGTACTTCCTATACAAGAATGAATATACAGGGGGCGGGGGGGGAGAAGTGACCAAGCCTTGTATGCACATATGAATAATAAAAGAAAAAAAAATGAATATACAATTTCAAACCTGTTGAAATCACCATAGAAAGGGGAGGACTAAGTAGAAAGAAAAATATAGACATGGACCAATTCGGGTTATCGATATTTGTACACATGGAAATGTCACAGGGAAACTCCCTGCATTACCTTAAAAATGCAATTTTTTTTTCTTTTACAAAATTGGAGGAGGGCAGAACAGGTCCTGCCTGGGTGGTTGGTATTCCAGGAGGAGGAGGAGGATGTGGGAGAGAGGTGTAGGAGGGTGAATATGTACAAATACTGTGTACACATGTATGTAAATGGAAAAATGATACTATTCCAGGAATGGAGGGAAATAAAGGAGAATGATGGAAGGGGTGAATTCAAGTATGACAATATTTGTATATTGTAAGAACTTCTATAAAATGCCATAATATACCCCCAGTACAACAATTAAACTGTCAGGATAGGGGAAAATGGGATCCTTGTGCACTGTGGGGAATGAAAAATGGTGTGGCCTCTATGGAAAGCAGTATGGCAGTTCTTCAAAAAACTAAAAATAGGATTAGCATATAATGCAGCAATCCCACTTTCAAGTATATACCTGAAAGAACTGCAAGCAGGAAAATAGAACAGGTGTGTGTATACACCTATGTGCATAGCAGCAGGCATTTCACAGTAGTTGAAAAGGGGGAAAGTAACCCAAGAGTCTGTCCATGGAGAGGAGAACAGATAAACTGCGATGGTTAATCTTGGGTATGGACTTAACTGGATTGAGAAATACCTAAAAAACTGGAAAAACACTCTTCTGGGTGTGTCTGTGAGGTGTTTTCAGAAGCGATTGGCACGTGGGTCGAAATTTGGGGAAGTTTGAAAATCTTGAGAGGTACGTTTTCTGCTACTGCCATCGTTCTTGGACCTCAGACTCTAGATTCTTCAGGTTTTTTTTTTTTTTTTTTGAGATTAAGTCTCAGTGAACTATTTGCCTGGCACCCCAAAACCAGTCTCCCAAGTAGCTAGGATTACAGGGGTTGAGCCATCTGTGCCAGGCTACAGAGTTTCAGTTTTGCAAAATGAAGAATTCTGAAGTGCATGGTGTTGATTGCTAGGTAACAATTTAATGTACTTAATGCCCCTGGACTGTATCCTTAAAATGTTTTAAGATGAGGTCTGGTGTGGTGGTTTACATCTGTAATTCCAGCTACTAGGGAGGTAGAGATCCTCGTTCCAGTCCAGCTTTGGCAAAGGTAATGAGGCGACCCTGTCTCAAAACAAGCAAAAGGTGACTGGGGTAAGAACTGGGGAGCATATATCAAGCCGTGGAACACTTGTCTAGCATTCGCAAGGCCTTGGGTTCCATTCCCAGCACTGCAAAAACAAACAAAAAAAGCTGGTAAATTTTGTACTTTAATTTTAAAATATCGTAAGCAACGTGTACTCCATTACTGACATTTTTTTTTTGAGGTGCTGGAGTTTGAACTCAGGGCCTTCACTTTGAGCCACCCCACCAGCCCTTTTTTTGTGATGGGTTTTTTCGAGATAGGGTCTCGTGGCACTATTTGCCTATGCTGGCTTCGAACCGCGATCCTCCTGATCTCTCCTTCCCCAGTATAGAATTAAAAGCGTGAGCCACCAGTGCCTGGCTAGAGTACTGACAAAATTTTAACACACTTTTTGTTGCCAATTAACTTTTTTGTGTCCACCTGTGGAAAAATCGTTATCTCTTTAGAGAGTTTCCTGAGATTTCGAGGACAAAAGCTGAAGATAAAACTTTATTTCCAACAGCCCTACAGTGTGCAAACTCCCACTTGCCCCGCCCCAATATCAGACCATCATTAACCCCCATTTACAAAATTATCCTCAAACAGATTTACAGTTTTATGACAGTTATATACTCGAACTTACAAGACAAGTTAATAGTAAAAAAAAATACGCATGGCGCTCATTTAACCTACCGGGTCTCACATAAAACTTCATTTCTAGAAAAAAGCCCGGGCCCAAAACTTACGCGTTGAGGCTGCTGGCCCCGCCCCTCGGCGGGACCAATCAGCGCCGCGCGCGGGAGGCACGCCCCCACCGCCGGCCGAGCGCACCCATGCGAAGGCGCAGGGGCGTGCGGACGCGCGCGCGGGAGGCACGTCCAGTCGCCGGCCGAGTGCGTCGATGCGAAGGCGCAGGGGCGTGCGGACGCGCGCGCGGGAGGCACGCTCCCACCGCCGGCCGAGCGCGTCCATGCGAAGGCGCAGGGGCGTGCGGACGCGCGCGCGGGAGGCACGTCCAGTCGCCGGCCGAGTGCGTCGATGGGAAGGCGCAGGGGGCGGGGCCGTGGGGCCACGCTCAGCGTCCGGGGCCGACGGCTCGCCATCTTCTACCGCTTGCGGGGCAGGTGTCTTGCGGGAGACGCTGGCTGGACCCTGGGGACGTGAGTCTGCGTGCTGGGGTGTATTTGGGCGGCCGGCAGGACCTGGGGCTCACTGGGCGGGCGCGGCGCGGACGCGCGGGAGGCCGCAGGCATCCTGGGGCGGGGACACCGCGCCGCCGCCGCTCGGGCCTGTGGTGACTTCCGAGCTCGGTGTTCCTGAGGTGGGCGGACGCCGAGCCGCAAGTGCAAAGCGAGACCCCCGCGGAGGTTGCATTTTTTTTTTTTTTATTGGCTTCGTTTCCCTCTGAAAACTTTGGATGTAATTCGAACAAATAGTGCCAGCAAAATATCTAGGATTTGGGTATAGCTAATCTTTTAAAAACTGCAAGTCTAATTGGATGTAGAAAGTTAAGAGGTGTCATAAGCCCGTATGTTGTGACTGGGTGGTGTCGGGGATTATGAAAGTGGGGTCCCCAGAATAGCTTCATCGTCACCTGAGAATATGTTAGAAATACACACTTGCAAGTTTGAGAATCACGGCAAACACGCGCGAACCAAAATGCAACCATTGCTTCCGAACTAACGCCGAAGTTGACTCTGTGATCTAAGTGAGCCTGGCCTTTCCCATTACACGGGTACATTCGTTAAAATCAGACCTTGGTGCGGATTTCCATGGTGGCCGACATGTCCCTGCCGGTCTTAATTGGTGGCCCTTCAGTGTCGCGGTTCCAGACCCCCCGCCCTTCGGTGCAGCGGGTCCAGCAGCTCCTGCTGCACCCTAAGACTCTCACCTCCAAGAAAGCTCAGGGCCCGAGTACTTTGCCCTGACCGCTGTCTGGTCCACTGGCCTTGGGCGAGTTCGTTGTTTTCCTAATCTGCAAAATGAAGACAGCAGTGCTACCTCTTGAGAGTTTCTGTGAGTAGTAAGTGAGTGTATGTATCAGATTAAAAAACAGTATTAGCTGCTGCTGTTGTATGTAGTTGATAAGATTACTACCAAAGGTGGAGGCAATTGAGAAAGTGGTAAAATGGTAGAAACTGGGGGGAGAGAGACTAGTACCCACTGACAAGTTAAAATGACATGTGCTACTGTTAAATTAAACCAAGATAGGACAATTTTTGGGGGGTGGGAGGGCTTAGGTTTGAACTCGTTTTCCACTTGCAAAGCAGGTGCTCTACTGCTTGAGCCACGTCTCCAGTCCATTTTGTTCTGGTTATTTTGGAGATGAGGACTTTCATACTATTTGCCCAGGCTGGCCTCAAACTGTTATTCTCCTGATCTCAGCCTCCTTAAGTAGTTTAGGATTACAGGCATGAGCCACTGGCATCAGCAGTTTGTTTGTTTATTTGGTTTTTTTTGACACAGGGATTCCCTGTGTAGCCCAGGCTGGTCTGGAACTGAGTGATTCCTTATGCCTCAGTTCCTCAGTGCTGGGATTACAGGCATGCACCACCACACTGGCCTAGGATGATTACTTTTGCTTAATACTGTAATCATAGTGTGATGTGGGAACATCAGGTCTGTATCATGAGCAGGAGCTCATTAGAAATGCACAGGCTCAGATCCACCTCAAATGTACTGAATCAGAATCTTTTTAAGACCAGGACTCACTCTGTAGCTCAGGCTGGCCTTAGACTCACAGTCCCCCTGAGTGCTGAGATTACAGGTGTGTGCCACCATGCCCAGCTTAGAACCTATTTTTTTAACAAGCTCCCTAGCACATGTAGATGCAGCTTCTGTTAGAGAAATGCATCAGCTCTAAGATTTATGGTTCCAGCCAGGAATCTGACAGGAGGGCTTGAATTTCCAGCTGATCCTACTGTATCTCATCCTCTGTTCGGTCATCATTTTTATATTGCCATTCTCTAGCAAATTCTGGATAAATCTCTGTGCTTGCTGAACATTACTGGAGAAAGTCACATGATTGTCAGTGGTATGACCATGTGTGACGCTTGGCAAGCTTTTCATTCACCTTGCTTTGCCAGGCAAACGCTCTACCACCTTCCAAATTTCCATTCCCCCTACCTGCACAAGAGTGTCCACAGTGACACTCTTTGCAGAATATTTGTTGTCTACTTGATGCCATCTTATAATGTGAACTCTACTGGCTTCCGATCTTTTTACTTTAGAAACTTTCATCTTCCTCCCTCTTCGTTCTATTTATGAAGAAGTGTATAATCTTGTTGCCTGTGATAAAAACCTTCCTGGAACCTTGGTGTCATTCATACACACTCCCAGTTTCTGGAAGCCTCAGTTCATTTTATATGCTCTGTCACCTACTTACTTCTTACCCACTTGGAATTAGGCTTTTTCCTGTCGTTTTTTGGTCTATAAGTGGCCAGCTTAAGCGATCCGAAGACCTTTGATCAAACTTCACTCTCAACGTCTCCAAAGCATTTAACCTCTCCAGATGAAGCCCCTCCTTGTTTTCTTCACCTTGCCTGGTTTTGGCTTGCCTTCTGTTGCTCTGATTAGTCTGCACTCTCCTTGCATTTGCTTCTTCCAAGGCTTTATTTATTCCTTAGTTTGACCCTTGTTTTGTTTTTCTTTTTTTCCAATAAAGCCTACAGTTATTCAGTATTTCTCTGTCTCCAGAGCATGACAGTGATGTTAGTATTTTGCCTTTACACTTTTAAGCACAAAACCTTTTTTAAAACTACTGATAGTTAATTGAATTTATTAATACTTGATTGCTGATCGTTTCTTCTGTTTACTCCTTTTCTCCTTGTGGTCAGACTTCTTTGATGTATGAGGAGTCCATGAGTTGTCGACCTTTTTAGTCTTTCATATCTGAAGAAATCTATATCAGTTTTCTAGGGTTACCATAACAAGTATTAGGGAGCTTAGGCAGGTGCTGTACTACTTGAGCCATTCAGCCAGCCCCTACTACTAGGGAGTGTAAACAATAAATTACTTTTTTTTTTTTTTTTCACAGTTTTGAAGGCCAGAAGACATAGCTCATGCGGCAGGATTCATTTCTTCTGAGGCATCTGAAAATGGCTTACAAATGGTCTATGTCACCTTACCTCTGACCAGTCTGTATCCAGATACCCTCCTCTTAGGACTCCAGTGATACTGGATTAGGGCCCACCCTACAGATCCCATTTAACTTAATTCTTTAAAGACCCAGAGCCTTTCATGCTAGTGCATGCCTGTAATGTCAGCACTTTGCGAAGGATGGTGAGTTTGAGGCCAGCCTAAGCTATACAGTGAGACCCTGTCTTAAACAAAACAAAGAGTCCCCAAAACTCTATGTCCAGACACAGTCACATTCTGAGGTACCTTCAACATTAGTCTCATGCCCATTTAGTAAACCTTTTCCTCCTCAGGTGAGTCCAGTGTGAAGAAAACTGTTGAAAATGTAAGTGCTCACCTTAGCCAGGTATTAAAAAGCGATCACCCATGTGACTGCCATCCACTTTTCGTTGCCAGTGTCCCAGAAACCCTCAAGCCCTTTCGCTCGTCTCATTCTTGATCTACTAAGTATTGGTGCTGCTGTAGCAGACTCTTGACCTGATGAGGAAAGTAGCTTTCATTACTCTTGAAAACTCTTGTCAGAGGGTGAAATTAGTCACAAGCTTTGTATGTTGGTGTCACCACAGCCTCGTTGTTCAGCTCTGTGCCCCAACATACATCCTTGCACTTACACTTTCTGAAGCATGGATTTTGCTCTTCTGCTTTCTTGTCATGCATTCTTAAAATGTTCCCTATACTTCATGATCCATTTCCCACTGGATTTCTCCATGAACTCTTCCTGGGTTTTCCTAATCAGATGAGTGTTATTTGATCTTTGAGCCTCTCAGATCCTTTAATCTTGTTACAGTGTTGATCATTTGTACTTACTGCTAAAACATTTATTAAACGTCTTTCATTTGGCAGTCACTGGGCTGGGTGTTGTGGGGGGCAGGATGGAGAGGTCATTGGTAAGGTGCATTTAGATTTGGAGTAGCTGAGGTGGTGCTGTGGATTTTGACCTTGGCTGCACATTGGAATCACCTGTGGAGCTTTAAAATTCCCAGTGCCTGGGCCCCAGCTCCCAAGATTCTGATTTTGTGGGTCTGGGAAGTGACCAGGACATGAATTTCAGAAGCTCCTCAAGTGAGTTTGGTGTGAAGCCACAGTTGAGAGCGAGCCCCTTGCTAGTGGAAGAGAGAACAATAAAGGACTCATTTCACTGTGTGCTGTGCTAGAAGAATGAACAAGGGGAGCACAGAGAAGTACTAATTTAGTCTGGAGTTACTTCTGTTTTTACAACTAGACTTTAAGCTGTTTGTGTGCACAGCGCAGACCTTTCTCATTTTGGGGTTCCCATGCCTTACATGTAGTGGATTTAAGGTAGGCTGTTTGGAAGAACTTTCTGTGCCTATGGAAATGCCCTGTATCTGCACTGGACAGTGGTTGGTTTGTGGTACTGGAGTATGAACCCAGGGCTCTGTGCTTTCGAGGCACCTGCTCAACTACTTGAGCCACACTTGCTGTATTTCACGTGCTCAGCAGCCACATGTGGCTCCTATATTGGATAGTATGTTAATTTTTTTTTTTTTTTTTTTTTATGGAACTGGGGTTTGAACTCAGGGCCTCTTAGCCTTGCTAGGCAGGCATCTCTACCACTTGAGCCACTCTGCCTGCCCTCAAATAGTATGTTATACAGACACTTAGGTGAGGAGGCAGGATCATTTTCTCTGAATAGGAGTTCGGTTGAATTAATTTCCATATCTTTTCTTAAAATCTCACTTGTAATAAAAAAATTGGCGAGAAAGGTTTTTTGTTTGTTTAGTACCTACATTGAGCTATAAATCAATACTATTTTAAATTCACTTGTTTAATTGGCTTTATTTTTCATTCTAAAGCATTGGCAACACTTCACTCCATAAAATAAATAGAATAAGTACTCACTTAAAATCTACTTCACTTACAAATGTACAGTCAGAGGCCAGGCGGCGCATGTATTATCGCAGCGATCTGGGGGGCTCAGGTGGGAGGCTCATTTGAGCTGAGGCTTTGAGGTCAGTCCGGGGACCATAGCAAGACTCCATCTCTGTGTATTCACGGTATGTCCAGCCACAACTTTAAAACAGTTTTCATTCCTGTACCCTTTAACTATAGCCCCGTATGGCCCTATATGCCCAGCTAACGGCATCCTTAGTCTTCTTTCTGTCTCTATAGATTTGTCTACTCTGGACATTTCTTGTAAGTGGAATCATAACATTTGTGGTCTTTTGTGGCAGGTTTCTTTCACAGCATAATAATTTTAAGGTTCATTCATGTTATAGTATGGCATAAGTGCTTCATTCTTTTATGGTTTAATACTCTGTTGTATGGGTGTACCACATTTATTTACTCATTTATCAGTTGATGGAATTTTGCGCTGTTTCACTTTGTCTATTTTGTACAAGTGTTTGTGTGGACATATATTTTCATTTCTTTCGGGTATATAGTTAGGGATGGAATGGCTGGGCCATATGGAAGACATGTTTTTTTTTTTAATCTGAATGAGAATATTGTGCATATAAGTATTTTTATATACATGTATATTTTTATACATGGATGCCACCTTACTGTTATTTAATGTACATTCCTTAATTATTACTCAGAAATGTTAACACTGTAAGGAAGTAGTTTTTATTATAAAATGATTTATTTTAAAAACTGTGTTTCAGCCAGGTGTAGTGCTTATACCTGTAATCCTAGCTACTCTGTAGGTGGAGATCAGGCAGATTGGGGTTCAATGGCAGCCTGGGCAAACAGCAGGAATTCATTTCATCCAATAAAATGCTGGGAATAGTGGTGTGCACCTGTCATTCCAGCTACATAGGAAACATAGGAGGATTGTAGTCCAGGCAGGCTAGAGCATAAAAGCCAGACCCTATTAAAAAATAACTGAAGTTATCTTTAATTTGATGGTATGGCTAAAGTGGTTCAAATGCCAGTGCCACCACTCTGCCCCACCTCCCCGGCCCAAAATTATATCAAAAATTTTTTTTAGTCTTATACAGGATGCTGTGCTCTCTGCTTCTCTGTGAATACCTATTGCTGATAACTGGTTATGCTCATGACGATGACTGGATTGACCCCACAGACATGCTTAATTATGATGCTGCTTCAGGGACAATGAGGAAATCTCAGGTATTTATTTAAAACTGCATGTGTGTGTAAGTCCTATCAGTCCTCTGATGGAAATAGTACTCTGTTGTTCTTGTTTATACAGATTTAAGAGTGTCATATATAAATGATTAGCAGTCATGTAGAATATCTTCCTAACAACTCTTAAATCTGTTTCAAACCCATTTGGTTATTTCCATTTTGAATTTGAATATAAAGCTGATCAAGGAGTAAGCCAGATTGATTTTAGTGCTTGGTATGTACATTTGAGATTTTTACTTTTGTCATGGTTCAATTCAAGTGAAGGCTATAATGAGCAAAGTCATAAAATGATAAAGTCAAAATTTTATTCATTAACCGAAAGCTTTTTTTAAACTGAACTATATAGAAATAAAATCTCTACTTTGTTTTAGGCGAAATATGTTGTATCAGAGAAAAAGGATGTCAGTCCTGACTCATCAAATGCTGATGAATTGTCACAGTGTTATCTCAGACTTGATTCTTTAGCTCATAAGGTTGGATTTTTTTTCCATTCTTAAATGTAACATTGTGTTAAGTCACTCCGTTTTCTTGTCTTTGTTAATGTTTGTGTTCATAATGTTCCTGTATTATGTAATTATATGTATATTTTTAGTCAAGTTTTGTTTTCTAATAATGCTTTGTATTTTTTGTGATGACATCTATCATGTTATGTTGTAATTATGTCTTTATCAGACTACAAACTAGTCTGTAGGAGTGCATTTTATTTATTCATCTTGCTGTATCACCTGTCATACTGGTAAGGGCAAGGAAGAAGATGAAAAGAAGCAAGTGAAGAAACTGGTCTATTAACAGTTTATAAGACCTACTCTTACAAATGTGAAGGGCTGTTAGAATCTAGTGTATGGTAGCTATTCATTTCTTCTTTTACTCAATCTTTTTTTTGTTTTTGTTTTTTGCGGTACTGGGGTTTGAACTCAGAGCCTATACTTGAGCCACTTCCACCAGCCCTTTTTTGTGTTGGGTTTTTTGGAGATAGGGGCTCAAGAACTATTTGCCTGGACTGGCTTGGAACCTCGATCTTCTTGATCTCTGCCTCCTGAGTAACTAGGATTACAGGCATAAGCCACCAGTGCCCAGCTTCAATCTTTTTTTTTTTTTTTAATGTGGCTGAAGTAGGGTTTATATAAAAGGAAATAAGATTAAGGGATGTGAGCATATTCATTATTTGCTGGGAGAATCATCCTCTATTAGTTTTATATGTAGAATGAACTACTGTCAGTATGGAGAGGGTCTGGAATGAGGAGGGTGGTAGTCAGGTCATCAGGAGTTACAGAGGTTCAGCATGCTGAAGGCTCACAATGACATGGTGACAGTGATGGGTGAAGAGAAGAGGTGAGTGTGAAGCTTTTATGAAGTAGAGGAGATAAATGCTGATAGCTAAGGGAAAGTGGGAGATACAGGGCCAGGGAAGGGCTAGAATTCCCAGCTCAGGAGACTGGGAGAGTGCTAATTGAGATCCTGGTTTATCCTAGATCCACCAGATATATCCCCTGAATGCTAGCAAAAGAATGGTTGCATAAATTTGTTTCAGTTTAACCGTATTTTGGTAGTGAGCTAGTATGGTTGACATTAAGAAATACAGAAATGCCTTTTTCTTGAAATTTCTATTTCATTGTTACTTGGGCTCAAACATGATAAAAGTACAGTTGGCGAAATGGAGTCTTATGTTACTGGGGTTTTTGGTGGCGGTGGGATAGGCAAGCGCTTCACCATTAAACTATATCCCAAGACCACTTGAGTAATCTTTTTTATTTTTTAAATCTTTTTATTTATTTATTTATTTATTTTGGTTGAGTAATTTTTAATAGCTGAAGAAGTTAAGAGCTAAAAAAATAAAATGGTTTGTAAGTCCTGCCTTGAAACAGGACTGAAACTGCTGTGCTCCTTCTGTCCTATGTGTGTGCATGCTGCTTAATTACTTGTCTTGTTTATCAACTGGTAAACAAGCCTTTGGGCCATTTCAGTGCTCACTGTTAAAAAAATATACAAGTTGATTATCACCAGGTTATTTTGAAGTTTGTAAAATACCCACTGCCCTCGCTCAGCCACTTGGCTGCTGTTGTGGTAGTACAACTAAATTTAGAAATTTGTTCCAGTGAAGAATTATGTACTGAACGCACGCATGTGTGGGATTCTTTGGAGAAGCCACAATTACTGCTTTCCTGAGCATTCATGTAGTGGGGTGATTAGTCACTAACAAAAGAGGTCAGAAGTAATATGTGCATTCAAGGAATTCTTTGCTTTGTCCTTCATTGCATCTTCTGGCTTCACCCTGTCTCCATTCCTCTGTCTCTTTGTGTGTCTGTTTTTATTCTTCCTTTCCTCCTCTCTTTCTCTCATTGAATCGTTGCTTTGAAAATAGAAAGAGGTGGTATGGTGCAGATGCTCTGCTTATGAATCTCTGCTTCTCAACTTCATGATCTTCAGTTTTAAAATTGTTGAAAGGCAGCAGAAAAACTGTCAGGTCTGGGCTAAGTACTGGACATATGTTCCTTATTTGTTGCCTACTGCCCTTTACCAGGAGAACTCACAAGACACAGGTCAGCTCTACACTGTAATGCAGCTGATCTGTATAAGCTTGATAAAAATAACCAACTCCTTTTGCAGCCAATTAAATTGACCAGGCTCTTTACCCACTGCCCTGGGTGCAGCGGCTGCAAACACCAGCCTTCTTGGTAGTGTACCAGTCTTGTTTATATGGGTTGTCCTAAGGGACCTTGGAGACAGAGTTTTCCCAGTGGGTGTTCATGTCTCTGCTCTCATGGTGTCCCCAGTCCAGGCTTCAGACAAGTATATGGGCACATTCACACCCGTCAAGTCATCAGGTCCATTTGCACCAACCTGTAAAACAAGGAATATGTGATTGAGGCCTTATGCAGGGCCAAGTTCAAGCTCCCTGACCACCAGAAGACCACATCTCAAAGAGGCAGGGCTTTACCAAGTTCATTGCGATGAATTTGAAGCTGCTGAGAAACAGCTCATCCCCACTGACAGTAGGGTTGAATATATCCCCAACTGTGGTTAGTTGGACAAGTAGTAGTCCCTGCACTTGAGAGGGCTTCCACCCACCAGTAAAACATGTTTCTTGTAAAAAAAAAAAAAAACCAAACCAAAAAACAAACAAAAAAACTCCTTACCCTGACTTCGATGACATCATCAGGCTAGAACTGGACCCTTATGTTAAACTTTGATGCTAACTCATGTTGAATTTTTTTGTGTGATTACAGATTGATGAGTGTGAAAAGAAAAAGAGAGAAGACTATGAAAGTCAAAGCAATCCTGTTTTTAGGAGATACTTAAATAAGATTTTAATTGAAGCCAGAAAGCTTGGACTTGTGAGTATCTGGTTGTGTGATATTAATCAGTGTAGTGGATATTTTCATTCCCCTCCCTTCCCTTCCCCCTTCACCCTTCCCCTGGGGCTTCCCCCTTTCCCTTCCCTTCCAGTGCTGCAGACAGAACCCAGGGATTTGCATATGTCAGGCAAGAGTGTTACCACTGAGCTATACCCCTAGCTCAAAACTTCCATTTAAAAATTTTTTTAAATCCATTTAAAAAAACATTGTTTTCACATTGGGGAATCAAAACATTAAGAAAACTTAATAATTTTATAATTTACACCATTTATAAAAGCTTACTTTCAAGTGCGTAGATTTTTTCCCCCCATTACATATATCACCAGAATTAGTTTAGGGTAGAAGCTAGACTTGTTTGGTTTGTCCATTAGCTAGAAGCACTAGAACATTCACAGGCAGATTCTTGAAGTGAAATGGCCTTGTGTCAGCATTGAGCAGGCTGGCCAGATTCTTTTCTCCTGGCTGAGCAAGAAATGGTTAAACTGGACAGAAGTGTTAGATGAATAATTTAATAATGCCACTTTTTTTTTGTTTTAGGGCAGCACTGGGGTTTTTACTCAGGATCTCATGCTTGCTGGGCACATGTTCTTACCACTTGAGCCACTCCACCTGCCCTTATTTTGTGATGAGTTTTTTTGAGCTAGGGTCTCACGAACTATCCTGATCTCTGCCTTCTGAGTATCTAGGATTATAGGCGTGAGCCACCAGTGCACAGCAATACCACCTTACCTTGAAAGTATAAAAGCAGATGTTCTCATGTGTACACCCTTTATAATTTTTTTTTTCTTTTTGGAGGTGGGTCTTGTTCAAACTTGAAATCTTCCTGCTTCAGCCTCCTGAGTAGCTGGGATTACAGGCTTGCACCCCCACACCTGGCTTGTACACCCTGTGATTTAAGTCTTACAGCTGTGTAGAGTAGAACAGAACCTATATGAGAAAACAGAAGGAGCCAGGAGACATTTACGATGGAGATGGGGCCAGGAAATGTAGCTCAGTGGTAGAGCAATTGTCTAGGGTGCATGAGGCTTTGGGGTCAATCCCCAGCACAAGAAGGAAAGAGAGAAAAAGCAAAAGAAAGGAGGAGGAAAGGGAGGGAGGTGCTTGGAAATGCTTAGTTCCCAATTTAAAAAAAAAATTGTAAAGTATTTTTAAAATATTCTTTTCAATATTAATGATGACTATGCTTTCTGGTGATTTGTGATTTTCTGTGTTTACTCTTATAAAAATGAAAGGAATTTTCTCTTAATTTGTATTGTTTGCTCCTTTTTAAAATTTTTCTTATTTATGCTACTGCAGATTTTAGGCTGTCTTAAAATTGTATCAGCAAATACAAAGTCATAAACTGAATGATAAAGACAGTCAGTCTTTATTTCCAGATTCCATGTTTGTGAATTTATTTGTTATAATTTATTTTTGGCCTTGAAGTCAGTACTTGAGGTGTCTTTTTGGTCTTTCTGGAGCATGTGCAGAGTGTCAAAAAATTTGAGTTGCTTGATGCCTGATCCCAACTGAGGAGGAACAAAGCAGCAGGGGTCTGCCTCTTTTTGTTTGTTTTTTTTCTGGTACTGGCATTTGAACTCAAGACCTTCACCTTGAGCCACTCCACCAGCCCTTTTTTGTGATGGGTTTTTTGAGATAGGGTCTTGGTAGTTATTTGCCTGGGCTGGCTTCGAACTGTGATCCTCCTGATTTCTGCCTTCTGAGTAGCTAGGATTACAAGCATGAGCCACCACCTCCCATCTGAGATCTGTCTCTTGTTTCAGCTCTAATACTACAAACCATTGTCTTCTGCTATGTTCATTATGGTTTATTTAGTGCTACGTTTTTCACATTTTTGGGGGATGGGTGTAATTTTGTTTAAAATGTTCCTCAAATGTATGTTGAAGTACTGCCTAGTGTTCGTAAGTGCAAGAAGGCTGTGATGTGTCTTACAGAGAAAGTGCATATGTTGGATAGGCTTCATTTAGGCATGACAAATAGGATTGTTAGCTGTGTGTTCAGTGGTAATGAATAAGATGTCACAGAAATACACATAAAACAATGTTATGTATTGATCAGTTATAATTAGAGGTTCAAAATGACCCAAGCCTTGTATGCACATATGAATAAGAAAACAATAAAAAAAGAAATAATTAGAGGTTCATAGAACCTAGCCCTGTGTTTCCTATAGGAGTATGGCTTACTCTGCCAATTAGTGTTTGAGGCTACTTTGTAGAACTTAAGTATGCAAAGAGCAAGAATTAACTGTGTTTCAATACAATTAACAGTATCCTTATATACAATTCTCTCATTTTAAAAGGTTTTTCACACGTTTCTGTTTTTTTTTTTTTTTTTAATTTTTTTGATGATTCTGTGGTTTGATCATGCTTACTAGGCAGGTGTTCTACCATTGAGTCTCTGCCAACCCTTTTGTGTTGAATATTTTGAGATAGGCCTCAAGAACTGTTTGCCCGGGCTGGCTTTGAACCATATCCTCTTGCTTTCTGCCTCCTAAGTAGCTAAAATTACAGGCATGAGCCACTTGTGCCTGGCTTATTACTGGTTTTCATGTTGGCCCTTGAGACAGACAGACATGTATATATGCTTTCTTCTTCTTTTTTTTTTTTGGTGGGACTGCGTTTTGAATTAGGGCTTCACACTTGCAAACACTCTACCATTTGAGCCACACCTCCAATTCTGTATTTCTTATGTGTGTGAGATACTGCAATTTAATTATACTTAACTCATTCTCTTTGTGGGTGCTAGGGATCAAGCAAACATATATTTAATTCCAAATTGGCTTTTATCTTAATGCTTCACTGGGTGATGTGATATAAATTCTCTTTTTTTTATTGTTTGAATTTTGGTGAATTTAATTCAGCCTGATGAAAATAAAGTGAAATGCATTATAGCTGAGATTATCTTAAAGACAAACCTTACTGAACATACAGAAGTTTCTCAACGGAAAGATGGAATCAGGAGCCATGGATGATGTGCTAAGTGATATTTTAATTATTTTAAGTTTCATGATTTTGAAACATGGAAGTGCAATTTGAAGATTACTTTGGAGTGGATCCATTAACGTGCTAATGTAAGGTGGTAAGGGTGACATTGATTAAGTTCCTTTTTATAGTACTTTGAAGACACTAATATATTATTAAGGGTCTATACTGAGTCACTCAGACTTCATCTGAACAAGCAGCAAAGTGGTATGAATGATTTTCTGCATTTTAATTTTTTTTGTTGTTTTGCTTTGCTGGGGCTTGAACTCAGGACTTGAACTTGCTTAGAAAGTGCCTTGCCACTCTGACCATACCCTCGTCCCAATTTTATGTATTTGTGTCTACTACTTTGTTTCTACTGATGTTGGAGTTTTTTGCTGGGGAGATAGTTTGGCAGTGACTCTGATTTACGCTTTTGTTTTCAAGGACTTCGTGTCTGCTTGCATTGTCGCATTAGTAGCAACTGAACTGTGGACATATGTTCGCTGGTACACCCAGTTGAGACGAGTTTTCTTCATCAGTTTTGTCCTCAGTTTTGGATGGAATTGGATTTATTTATATAAGGTATTAAATAGGTTGAGAGTTTTAAATTTTTAAATGTAAATTCAAATAAAGACACTATAATCTACTTGGAGCAATCTTGCTTTAGCTGTGGGTTAAAGGCAGTGTTGGAAGTGGACAACAGTGGGGAGAAGTAAATTGACACTCAGCTGTGTTTGGTTTTTGGTCCTTGACCAGCTAGTAGGGGGAAAGTGTAGCCTGATTTCCATAAAGCAGTCACTCTTGGGTAGTATCTAAACAACTAAGTCAGCACAGAGCTAAGTAGACACATTTTTAAAGTCTTATGTAGAATTTGAGGAATATCTTTATATTCTTTTGTTGAATCATACCAGATATCATTATTATTTAATATTTTCTGAAATAAAAGTATGTTAAATTATTAAATGATTAGACAAACACAGATGAATCAATTTTTAAACTCAGCATAATCATTGAAGGAAAATTTTAGATCTTTCTAGCAGGGTGTTAGGTATCCAGGTATCCTCAGTGAATTCATGTGATTAAATCATTGTGAATATCCTTTAACTTTTGCTCTTTTTTCTATAGCATCTAGAACTAGTTATTTACAAACTAAATACCTAGGTTCTGTGTGGAAGGAAGGTTGCTTGGTTGAGTATTGTTAGTTCAGTGATTTCTCCTGGGACTTTGATTTATAAAAGCTGTACAGCTATCCCTCGGTATCTTTAGGGAATTCGTTCTGGGAACCCCCTGCCCTCCCCCTCATAAATACCAAAATCTATAGACACACAAATTCCTTACATAAAATCATATAGTGTTTGTACATCCTCCCATGTACTTCACATCATCTCTAGGATTACTTACAATACCCAGTGCAGTGTAAGTCCTGTGTAAATAGTTGTTTACTATATTGTTTAGGGGATAAAAAAAAAATCTGTACATATGTTCAGTACATACACAGTTTTTTTCTATCTGTGACTGGTTAAATCTGTAGATGCAAAACCAACTGCATTATATCTATATTAGTCATTTGTGCTAAAAACCATTCAGAGAAAAAAAAACACATTTTATCATGAATCTTAAACATACAGGAGATATAGTCATTTAATTTGGATCGCTACATTTTCAATTCAATTTTCAGTTCAATTTTCAATTGAACTACAATTGAACTAATTCTTAGAAATGATCTTTTTAATAGTTTTCCTTCACCATAATTATATACAAAGAAAGCACTTGTGGTTAATTCTTTATTCTTCTTTGTTGCGCTAAGACTATGCCTTTCCACGAGCTGAAAGTAGCTAGTTAAGTATTCTTTTAAGTTAAGAAATTTGGAGCAGTGTTGGATGAATGGTAAAGACACTCGAAACTAGGGTGTCTTGGATGTGCAGGGACAGCCTTCGTTGTCGGCAGCCTTTCACTGTTCCCTTTTCATATTGGTCAGCTAGCTTTCGCACAGCATCAGGCTGATGTTGCCAAGATGGAGCCATCGAACAACGTATGTGCTGAGAAGATGGACTGGGTTGGAAGTCTCTGGGGTAAGGTGTTTATTCGTTTCTCTATAGTGAATGGAATTTCTCAGAAAAGGGAAACATTAGTTAGTAATCACAAAGAAAATTAGGAAATGCCAGATGAGGCTTTCCATGACTGAATCTTTAATGTAGGGACATGTAGCCAGGCGTGATGGATAACAAGTTCAAGGCTAGGCAATTTAGTGAGACCTTAAAATAAAAAAGGCTAGACTGTAGCTCAGCGGTGGAGTATTTGCCTCCCATGTACAATTCCCTGGGTTTGATCCCCAGCACTGCTACAAAAAAACAAAAACACATGCAAAAGGATTCTTAGGATTAAGACTTGTGGCTTTTGGCTCACATAAAGTTACAGGGAAGAAACAGAAATCGTGTGTATGTGGCTCTGATGTTACTGTCTGTGAGGCTGAAGTTCTGTGCTCCCTTTTGCTTACCTGGTCCTTAGCAGAGCATCAGGCACTTTCTAGGCCCTCAACAGCAGTTAACTAAAGTGGATGAATGTGTGTACAAATTAATGTCCATCTTAACTTCAGTTTCCTTATACTGACTTATGAAATCTTTTCATTTATTTTTTTTGTGGTTCTGGGGTTTGAACTCAGCCTCACACTTGCTAGGCAGGCACTATACCACTTGAGCCACTCCACCTAGCCCTGACTGATGAAATCTTATATTGTGACTTCACTATGCTTTTTTTTTAACTAAGGGGGAATTATTATATTTGGTTTTTATTCTAATATTGACCCCCAATAGTTGTCTGTATCTGTGTTTACTGGAAATGATTTAATGTTCAGAGGCACTTTTTAAATACAAATCCATAATAACTGACAGAGTAATATCTTAGTAGATTCTACAAAGAGGGCCCAGAATTAATGTTTTTAAAGAAGTTGTGAGAAATAATCAATTCACTTTGACCTCTTGGCTTCAGGAGACAACAAAGTGCCTCCTCTAGTGCAGGTTAGTTTCCAAATGTGCCTAAGACTGATTTAGAAAAGTTGGAAGAATGAATGTTCTGTTTTCTTACTTTTGTACAAACAGAAAGCACTGTTTATTGTTGCGATAATTACAGATTCATAAGCAGTTGTATGAGTAAGACAGCGCCTATGTGTTCTTTTCCCGTTTTCTTCCCCATTTGTAGCATCTTAGCAGCTACAATAGAACAGTATAAGAGGCAGGATATTAACTTTGATGCAATCCACTAGTCTTACTCACTTTCCCCAGTTTTACTCATATACATTTGTATGCATAAAAAGCTGCTGTAATCATTTACTTTTTAGAAAAATCTGTATAATTTTTTGTCTCCATAAGACTTGGATAATTTGAATAGATTTTTTAAAAAATAAGCATGATTTTGGACATAAGATGAAAAATTTAAATCAGTCTTACAGGGAATCTATTTAAAATTTAAAACAGTTCAAAACTGAGAAGCGTTGGTGGTATAGTGGTGAGCATAGCTGCCTTCCAAAACTGGGCTGGTGGAGTGGCTCAAGCTGTAAAAGCGCCTGCCTAGCAAGCATGAGGCTCTGAGTTCAAACCCCAGTGCCACCAGGAGATAAAAAAAAAAGATACAGACTTGAACTGAATCTTTAGCTGGAGGTATGGCTCAAGTGGTAGATCACCTTCCTGGCTAAGGAGAAACCCTGAGTTCAAACCCCAGTACCACCAAACAAAACAAAACAAAAAAGTAATGGGCTGGTGAAGTGGCTCAAGCTATCAGAGTGCCTGCCTAGCAAGTGTGAGGCCCTGAGTTCAAGGCCCAGTTCCGCCAAAAGAAAAATAAATAAATAAAAATTTTTAAAATGACAAATTGACTAATGGGGGCTAGAGGCATGGGTCAAGTGGTAGAGAGGCTGCCTAGCAAGCACGTAGCCCTGAGTTACCAGAGTATTTTATTTGGGAATAAAATGCAACTTTTTAATGATTCTGTGTTTTGTCTGTCTCTCTGAATAGAACTGTTTAGAAGCTCATGGACCTATAGAGATGACCCATGCCAAAAGTACTATGAGCTCTTACTAGTCAACCCTATATGGTTGGTCCCACCAACAAAGGTATAGAACATATCTTGTGAAAATCACTTATACACAGCGTCAGAAATCCCTTGCATGTATAAAAAATTGTGTTCTTTAGAATGTTTTGCTAATAACATTCATCTTTGAGAAAAGGCTTCCATTGCATGGTGATTTTCACATATAAGCTGGGTTTGGTAGTGCATGCCTGTAATCCTAGCACTTGGGAAGCAAAGGAGGCAGGAGGATTGTGAGTTCTAGGCCAACCTGGGCTACATAGGAGTCCCTGTCTAAAATAACCTGGGATGTCAATGGCAGAACACTTGCTTTGTTATGGGTGAGACACTGGGTTTGACCCCTAGCACCACCACCACCACCAAAAAAAAAAAAAAACAAAAAAAAGTGGT